TTCCAGGTTGGCAAGACTGCTATGAAAATGCTGTGCGTACAGAGTGGCTCGGAATCGGCGTGTACGCAAACAAAACAGCTGCTCCAGCAGTGGATGCAGATGAGTTCGGCAGGGCTCTAATCAGGGTCGTCGGCAATGTCACAATGCAGGCCAAGGCAAAGGAATTATCTGCACTGTGCTGCAAAAGAGAAGGACGAGTCGTAGGTGCCGAGAAGATCGCTGAGTTGGCATACCACCCGGAGAGAATGGCCTTGCCGATCCCAGAAGTCAATCAGTATCCGAAGGACAAGCTGCGCACAATCAGGAATAAGTTCGGAGGTATTCTAGAGACCGTCAATCGTCCTCATTTGGACAAATATGCAACCTCAAAGTGAGTATTCCCTCCCTGCATTTGTTTCAAATGCATATCAAGTGTTCATGATTTTTAACCACAAGAACCAGACTTTATACTGCTGCCAGCACACTCTTCGTCGCTCTTACAACCAACACGTCCCTCCTCCTTCCTATCCTGGGCTACGCTCTTCTAATCCTCGTCCTTATCCCATCTCTTCCCATTCCGCTTCTCATCCGCACTTTGTATCCAGTCTATGTCCTCATGATAACCTACTTCCCTCCCACCTCTCTCCCCTCTTTCCCTTCCCCGTCCTCCGCCGTTCGAAACTCTCCTCTCTGGTCACTCTATGCCAACTACTTCCCTCTCAAGCTTTATCGCAGCACTCCCTTGGCTCCTTATCAAAAGTACATATTCGGATACCACCCACACGGCATTTCCATCCGCGGTGCCATCGGCGCCCTCGCCACCCAAAGCGCCGGCTTTGACACGCTGTTTCCTGGTCTCAATCACACTCTCTTGGTGTCGGACAAGGTCCTTCGCGCCCCCCTGCTGCGCGAGTACGCCCTGTGTTTGGGCATCGGCAGCGTCAGTCGCGCGTCATGCATTAAGCTCCTGTCGTCCGGCGGCCACGACGGCAACGGACTTGGGCAGGCGATCACCATCTGCGTGGGTGGCGATCGCGAGGCGCGCATCGCCCGTCCTGGCCGCATGGATTTGGTGTTGGGGGTGCGCAGGGGGTTCATTCGCATTGCGATCGAGATGGGCGCGAGCCTAGTGCCGGTGGTGGCGTTTGGAGAAAACGAGGTCTTTGACGTCGCGTATCCCGAAGAGCATGATGCAAACAGCAGTGAGGCAGCTTCGAGCCACTGGGAGAGTGAAGGTCAGAAGCAGCAGGACGGTGACCGGGGAGGCCTGTTCACGGCAGGTGCGAAAGCCTGGAAGGCTATCACCGGCAAGTCGACTCGGGTGATCAGCGGACGGTGGGGAGTGACGGTGCCGTTCCGCAAGCCGATCCATGTGGTCGTCGGGAAACCGATCCCGGTCAAGGAGCAGCGGTATGTGCAGGACGAGGCTTATGTGGAGGAAGTGCATCGGATGTACGTGGAAGAGTTGCGGCGGTTGTGGGAGGAGTGGAGGGATGTTTTTGGGGTGAAGAAGGAGGTGCGGTTTGAGATTGTGCAGTAAGATTCGTTAACTGGTGCTTGGGCGTCTTCTCTTTGGCGTATTATCCTAAGTACGGTTCGGGGAAATGAAGGACGAAAGGTTACATAGTTGTGATGTGCTTGATGTCGTCGAATACTACCATGCATCCTTATCTTGTACTTTTGTACGTAAGACAAATGCAACAATGGAGTGAGCCGATGTACGAGACAAGGTTAGTCTACAGGGTGAAATTACCAAGTCAGAAAATGAGTTTGGAAAACATAGATAGTCGTTCATAAACCTAAGAACTTTTGACATGAACAGGACGGAAAAAGAAACACAGCGAGCCAAATTCGTGACTAGGATATAATGATGGAGGTAGAAAGCGGCCCAAAAATCTACTCCTCATCCTCCTCGGCGGCCTCCTGCTCCTCGGCGGCGACCTCCTCATCCTCCTCGAAGGTGGTGGGGGGCACGCTGTAGAGGCGGAGGACGGGGCGGTTGGGGTCCTTGATGAGGACGTACTTCTTGACCTTGTCGTCGTCCTCGTCGGCGTCGAGGGCGCGGATGCGGTCGACGATGGTGCGGACGATGCCCCAGCCGTTGCCGAGGTTGAGGTTCATCTGGGTGGCGAGGTCGCGGGGCTTGTAGCCGACGACTCCGAGCACGACGTGGGCGGCGGCGGAGCGGGGGTTGGCGCGGGAGACGAAGCCGAGCTTCATGGCGTCGGCCTTGGCGAGGATGGCCTGGGTGGTCCAGCGGGCGAGCTTGGAGGAGTTGTTCTTCATCTCGGTGGCGACGACGGCACCGCGCTGGGACCAGAGCTTGGAGCGCCAGTCGAGGGCGCCGCCGGAGCCCTGGGCCTTGCTGTCGAACTCGTTCAGGGCCTTGACGACCAGCTGCTGGTCCTCACCGCCGGTGGGGTTCTTCATGATGGCGTCGATCTCCGTGCGCACGATCATGTGCACGGGCTCCTGGCCCTCGTCGCGCTCCAGCGACAGGTCGAAGCGCCGGTACTTGTAGCCCTTGGAGGCCAGGGGCTCGGTCTCCTCGGCGGCGTTGTAGAAGGGGTTGGGGTGGGCCAGCTCGATCTTGCTCTCCTCGGACTCGACCACGGTCTGCAGGGCGAAGTTGTGGTTGATGAAGGTGGCCTCGAGCGCCAGGGCGCTGGGCGTGTTAATCGCGGCGCCCTCCTGCTTGCTGGCGGCGGCGGCGGTGGCGGCGGACGAGTCGGCCAGCTCCAGCGGGGCGTCGGCGGCGTTCTCGTTGACCGTCACCAGGTCCAGGGAGGCGCCGTCGCGCTTGTCGAAGTAGATCTTGCCGCCCTGGTGGACGATGACCAGGTCCCACGAGTAGACGCTGCGGGGCGCGCACATCAGCGTGGACAGGATGTCGGCGGACGCGAACACCGTCGCCTCGTTCTTCTCGGCCAGCTCCTGGATGACGGGGTCCTGCGAGGTCGTGACGTTGTACGCGGCGCGGTCCAGCGCCTGCAGCCGGCGCTCCGCGTTCTTGACCGGCGCCTTGTCGTACGACCGGTCGTAGTAGTACATGAACCCGTACGAGTCGACCTCCTCGCCCTCCGGTGCCTCCATGTTCAGCTTCGACAGCCGGCTGAAGTCCACCTCCTCCAGCATCGTCCAGTCGGGCCGCACGGCCACCGACGCCTCGCGCGTGCGCTGCGGCTTGTCGTAGTCCTTCCACCCGAACCGACGGCCCCGGTTGCCCCGGCCGCCGCTGCGGTTGTCGTAGTACCGGTCCCCGCCGGCGCCCCCACGGCCGCCGGCACCACCGCCGCCCACGCGCTGGAAGCCTGCGCGTCCGCCACGCTGGGCGCCGCCGCGCTGGGCCCGGCCGCGGAACACCGTGCCGCCGCCGCGGCCGAAGGTGCGCTTCGTCGAGCTGCGGGTGTTGTCGACCACGGAGAAGGAGGATTCGTCTTCGGCGACCGCCACGGAGAACAGGCTGGAGGATCCGGCGCCGTAGACTTGCTGGTCTGGAGGGTTGGATGGGGTTGTTAGTTTGGTGGTCCACACACGATACTCCCTTCCCCTTTTCTTTTGTCTTCGTTTTTCGCCATTCCGCCGTGAAACACAAGAAAGAAGGAAGCGTGCAACGTACCTCGGAAGTTACGGTTGTAAGCCTGACGACCGGCCCGGTTGGGGTCCTTGGACTCGGCCGTCCAGTCGGCCATGCGGCCCAGCTTGTCACCCTTGGAGAAAGGAGCATAGGGGACGCCGTCGAGCATGTTGTCGGCGGCGGAGGCGGGGCCCCAGGTGTCGTCGGCCGGCAGGGCGGCGACGATGTCGGCGATGGAAATGGGAGCCATGATTATGTGTATAGCTCTGTGTGTGGGGAGAGGTTAAAGGGAAAGATGACGGGGGAAAAAAAAAGACGACCCAGCGAGATAGGAGAGGTGGTCTGGGGGAGGGGCTGGTCGGTCAACGGATATTGAAATGAGATCGACTTTGCCAATTCGAGGGAATTTTTGTGTCGCGAGTTTGTGGCTGGTGGAGGCTTGGCATGTGGCTGGTGCGGATCACACCGCCACTATAAATTTGTGTACATTGTGGGTGTGTGTTGCTGAGTCAATGATGCACGCATAACTTATCGGGCTGCTATCGCTATCAGTGTTGTGTCCACAATGTTTGGCGGGTTTGCACATTCTGTTAATGCTTCGATGCTGTCTCTCAAAATAGACTGCACTGCTATTTGTCATGGTCTAACAGCTCCATACTTTATCTTTATGAATATGACTAATTATCACCTCAAGCATTTGAGATGAGTTGGAAGCTGATAGCAATGCAGATCATTCTCCTGGGATCGTCGCGGAGTCGAGATGCGTCCGCCGAACTTAGCGGAGTTGGGAATGATGCGTGATAATGTCCAAAATGCTCAATGATCGACTATCGAGTTTATTGCATTGACAAAATAGCTGCCTGTTGACCTCAGGATCCCTGCGATAAGCGAGGCTGCTCGATACTTTCTGGAGCTGCGGCTAAGTCAACTATGGTATGGGCGCATCCGAAATCGGTGCCACACCATTAAACAAGGTCGATCTTTTGTCCAGCGAAGATCATCAATACTTATCAATTCGATTCTGCCACGGACACCTCACAAGTATCACAGATCCAGGTCCACAGCAGCGCCCACACGCATCGTTATCATGCTCCCCGATGTTCAGCTACTGTGGGTACGCCCGCTGATTTGGTACCGGAAAAGCATCCAGACCGGGTGGCTGATAAGACAGGGACGGATGACAGGCCCGAGACCACTCGCCTCAATTCTGAGATTGCCTTTTACCTGTTCCTCGGTACCTGCAGCATGGCCATCTCTGCCAGGTCTCGCCGTCCATCCTGAATCGACTGTGAATATCGCGTTGCCACCACTGTAATGGCCGGCATCCGTTCCAGCCGGTTGTTCTCTGCATGGAGAATTGGCTGAGGACTGGATTTTGAGACTCCTTCAATCCGGATGTCCGACTGCGATAACGGAGGATATTGTCTAGTAGTTCTTGGAAATGCTGTATACTTGGATGGTTATTCCTTCGAGTCGCAGTCTCCTCTGAAGATAAATAGCACATTCCACCCCAGCTCAACAACACTACAACACAATCAAATCACAAACCTCTCTTACAGCAAGCCATACCTCTCATAACCACACAATCCCAACCCAACCACGACCATGAAGCTCTCCCTCACCGTCTCTATCCTGACCATCGCCGGCCTCGTCGCCGCCGTGCCCGCCCCTCAATCCGACTCGCAGACCCTTGAGAACCAAGTCAAGGGCGTCGCCGCTCAGACCACCTCTACCACGAGCGAGAGCACGGTCGACCAGTCGCAGTGCATCGCCCCGGTGCTGTGCTGCGGCACCTTGACCACTCCCTTGGACCCGCTCCTGGACCCCATCCTTGCGGATCTGGACATCAACGCTGGCAGTATTGTCGGCTCCGTTGGTCTTCTCTGTACGTCCGTTTCCTAGGTGGTTTGTCATTGTTGATGCTAACGCTATGGTTATAGGCAAGCCTTACGACACCACCTGCACAACGAAGCCGCAGTGCTGCTCCGAAGTGAACCTCTTGGTGAGTCTCCGCTAAACATCACGCCTCAGTGGAAAGGTATACTAATAAAAAATAGAACGGGGTTCTGGCACTGGGCTGCTCTGCTCTGGAGCAATAGTTTCCATTCCAACCAGGAGTCCGCAGGATGCATGTTGTATCTAATAACACCGGGGGATGCATACCCCCAACATCTGTTCTTTAGTTTCATAGCCAATACTATATACCTAATCAACCCTCATGTGTACCTCTTCAACCACCCCCTATAGAACTAATAAGACAACCCCACCAACTCCTCCGAATGACTCTTCTCAAAAGGATACGTCCTCTCCACCTCCCTCACCAACGCTGCATGGGCCTCACTCCTCGCCTCGATCCTCAACCCCGCCGGCACGACAGGATGACTGATTACCCCCGGCAGGAACTCAGGCTTCCACTCGGGGTTTCCTTCGGGCCCCTGGATCCGAAATACCGTTAGCGCCTGGGCAATCGTCAGGTAGACGTTCGCATCCGCCAGGGTCCGTCCGGGGCAGACTCTACGCCCGAACCCAAAGACCAGGAGGTGGGGGTCTCGTTGAACGCCACCCTCGCCACCACCGCCCTCACCACCAACACCAGCACCGGGTGCAGCAGTAGTAGCAGCAGCAGCAGCATCAGGCAGGAACCGCTCGGGTCTAAACGCCTCCGGATCAGGATACACATCCGGGTCGTGGGTGAATGCCCTGCCCGACGAAAAGTTAGCATACCAATTTTTAACAAGGCCACAAAACCACCACCCCTCTCCGCGGCGCGAGAAAAACCAAGCAACTGGGACAAAGAAATAAGGGGGAAAAGGCAAAACAAACCAAATATTCGCCAAAACCGAGGCCCCCTTCGGAATCCAGTACCCCTCATACTCATCCTCCTGGGTCACGACATGCGGAAGATCCATCGGCACGACGGGATGCCACCGGAAGACCTCCTTGATGAGGGCGTTCAGGTAGGGCAGGTTCTCGCGGTCCGCGAAGGTGGGCAGCCGCAGCCGATCCGCTGCCCCGAGGACCGAGTCGAGTTCGGCTTGGGCTTTGCGCTGCACGTCCGGGAAGAGGGCCATGGCGAGGAAGAAGGTGGCGATTGAGGAGACGGTCTATCCCACCCACCGTTTCGTCAGTTTCTGGATCGGTCAGTTTGGAGAAAGGGGGGGGGGGGGGCTATACCGTATCCGCTCCACCAGCATATAACGACGCCGCCGACCATTTCACGGTGACCTCGGCCTCGGAGCCGGGTGGCAGTGCGGGCTGATGCTCCAGCAGATTGGACAGGAAGGACGGCGTGAAATGGCCGTGGGCGTGGTGCATCTGGTGCCGCACGAAGGCGTAGGGGAGGTCGCTGAAGGCCGTGACGGTTTGCTTGTACCCGCGCGCCGTGCGGATGAAGCTGCCGCCGGGGAGCCAGGGGGGGAGATGTCTCACTACCCCACAGTTGATGTTGATTAGAACACACACACACACACACACATCAAGCCATAGCTTCCAGGGGAAAGACAGGACATACAGAACGGAATGTAATCCACCAAATACGTCGCCGGCAACATCGCCACCGAGAAATCCTCCATCGCTCGATCGGCCAACTCGACCAGCGGATCCCGGCCGTGCGGCTCAACCGTATACCCGTATCCGATCTTGAGGATGATGGCGCCGGCTTCTCTGAGGCTTGGGCATTAGCTTTGCCTCTCTTTTGTTCTGTTGCCACCGACAACGGCCCACGATAGAGAAGGACAAGGGGGGGGGGTCCGAACTTGCGAATATGCTCCATCAACCGCCCCGGCGCCTCCAGCACGCGCATCAGAAACCGGCCCACCTCCGCAGTCTGCACCGCATCGAACCGGCCCACCGACTTGTTCGACCCGATCTCGCGGTGGAGGTTCTTGCGGGTGGCGCGCAGGCGGTCGGTGCTTTTCACGGAGCCGAGCACGTTGTGCCATCCGGACCTGGGGTTGTTGCTTGTCAGTCTTCGGGTATATTGGGCATGGAGTTGGGTAAGATTAGAAGCGCGAGGGAGGATGCTCACATCTCGGCGAAATTCTGCTGTGGGCGGGAGGAGTAGATCGCCGAGCGCTTTTCCAGTAGCTCGACTGCATGGCGGGCCTCGTTGACGATGATGATGGTTTGGCCGAGGACGCTGAGGGAGCTGATGGAGCCTTTTTCCTTTCTCTCTCTTGTGAGCGGGGCAGATTTTGTAATGTGAACACGAGGTGAACATAAACATACCGTAGAGCTCCTTATGCTTTAGCCAATGTTTCCAGTCCTGTTGGCCAGGGCGAGGGAGGTCATTGAGATTGCCGATGATGGGTCGGCGGGGAGGGCCTGGGGGCAGAGGTGGGTGCTTTTGGCGCGAAATTAGGGTTGTCGTCAGGTAGTAGCCCGCTACGAGGAGGAGGGCGGCGAGGAGAGCGGAGATCATGCTGTGGGTTGGGTCAGATTGAGGGGTGTTTGACTGAGTTCATGGTTGTGCTAGGGGAAGGGTTTCTTATATCATGTCATTCATGTGAAATCATCGAAAGAGGGGGTTCTGCAGCTGAGAACTTATTGCAGACTGAATCCTCCGACCGGTGGGAGTGATTGGTGTGCAGAGCGTAATCGTGCATGAGGGTTACCGGGGGGTGTGGGCCGGATGAGGATATCATCGACGGCTGCATAGATTAAGACCGCTGCTGCGCAATGTGATTGGCTTTGGGGGGGGGGGGGGGGTATGCTGCTGTATACGTAGTAGACGTAGCAAATGGACTGAGTAATGGAGAAGCATCGATGGTGGAGGATCAATCTCTCGTTCCACTACTTGCTGACTTGAAGGGAACATAAGAGAAAGGCCTCATTCTCGGAAGATACTTCCAGTCCAGCCTTGGCATTCATCTACTACCCACTCTCCCCATCTTCCTGAATTCAACCACCAAATCCCAATCACAAATACTCCCCAAACCACGCCACCGCCTGCTGAAACGCCTGCTCCTTCGCGAATCTCACCCGCCGCGCCGCGGGATCCCCGCGCACCGCAAACCCATGCTCCACATCGGAGTACACACTAATCTGCCAGGGCTGATCCTTCTTACCCAGGATCTCCTCGCTCTCGCGTCGCTTCTCCGCGGAGAAGATCGGATCATGTTCTATCCCGGAAAAAAACACCATTAGCAAAATCCCTCCCTACCCCCAATCCAACTCCAAAAAAATCCCAGAAAAAAAAACTCACGCGCAGCAGCAACACAAAACGGCCCCTCCACCGCCGCCAACTCTTCGGCCGTCATCATCGTCGGATGCGCCGTAAACCCCACATCCAAGCCCCCATCCACCTTCAAAAACCGGGCCACATACTTCCCCCCAAAACAATACCCGACGCCGCCGACCCGCTCACACCCCAGCGTGGACCGGATGTGGTTCAGGGCCGTCTGGATGATGGGGTCGGTGTGCGCCGGCTGGTGGCCCTTGGCCCACTCCATGATCTGGAAGCCCTCGGGCCGGTTGAGGGGCACGCTGTCGCCGGTGAAGAGGTCGGGCATGAGGACGAGATACCCGGCGGCGGCGAATTGGTCGGCGAGGAGTTGGGCGTTGAGGAAGCGGTGGCCGATTACGTCGGTGAGGAGGAGGATGGCTTTTTTGGTTGCGGTGGGGGGGTGGGTGATGTAGGTTGAGACTGTTGGGGGTGAGTATTCTGGTTTGGACGGGGGGGTTGGGGAAGGGGGTGGGTGGTTTTACTGTTCTCAATGTCTTGGATTGTGCCCTTGGGTTCGCCTTCGTGGAGGGTACCCGTTATGCAGCACGTTGAGAGGTTGTTGGAGGTCATTTTGGGGGGCTTGGGAGGAAGAGGGGGGGGGGGGGGGGAAGAGTAAGTTGGTGTTGAGGTTGAGGCTTAGGGAGGAATTGAGGAGGAGATGGAGATATAAGTACTAGGTACTCCGTACTGTACGACAGAAAGATCGAAGAGGGGCAGATGGCAGATGAATCCCTGTTCCCTGTTACCTCCGAAGCAACAAAATCCTATGTCCGAATTTGGAGGTTAGCGGCGTGGTTTAGCGCCCGGCAGGACGGACATAACAGCTCCCAGCGCCCCAATAGCATGGAGATAAGAAGCTTTGCTTGGAAAATCTTACTCTATTTCTAGTAGAGTATATGAAGCCGTCAGCGCTAGGCTGGGAGTCTGACATCTGTACGTTTGCGGTTAGTCCCGCGATGGCCGGCTGCTCGCCGTGGTTGCGGTGGGGCGGTGGCTCGTATTTCTTCGAGCTGTATACGCGACATCTTGTGCACCCAACTTACGTGGAGAGTCAGGGGATTAGAGGTTCGTTTCTCCAACCTCAGGAAGCAAGAAACAATATGTTCAATGACATATGATAGGGATTAGAACATGCTATATACTATGAGATCGAAAGCCACCAACATGTACACATTATCATTCATCAAGAAAAGGCGCAATCGGCGGCCCCACCAACCGCCATCACCTCACTGGTAGAGATCCGGATACGCAGCCTTGACCATGTCCGCACCCTAAAGCAATCAGCATCAATTCACGACTTTCGAAACGATCTGCTACTCACCTTCTCTCCAATCATATACACCGCATTCTGGATGCGACAATCCGGAATGATCGGGATGATAGATGCATCGATCACGCGAAGCCGTTTGACGCCATGCACGCGCAATTCCGAGTCCACCACACCCTGCTCAATGGACTGAGAAAGCCGGGCTGTACCACAAGGGTCTGTCAACGTATTAGCCAGGGGCTTGCTCATCCACAGGAAGGGAGACTCACGATATCCAGTCTGCGAGTGCTCGAGAATCATCTTATTCATCGCCTCGTCCGAGTGTCGCGGCATGGGCCAGGGGTAGTCCTCCCGGATCACGTCCTTCATGCCCTCGCCGTGCATCAGGATCTCGTCCACGAACCGGACGCCTTCTCGCAGCGCGATGATGTCGAGGTCGTTCGAGAAGAAGTTCAGGTTGATGTTCGGCTGGTCGCGAGGGTCGGTGGAGTTCAGCTTCACCTCGCCGTTGCGGGAGAGTGGGCGGAGAAGGTCGACGATGACCGTCAACCAGTCACCCTCCGTGGGCACGGGGAAGTGCCACTGAAAGGCATCGGAGAACATGGGCTTTGTCATGGTTAGTATATTGGCTTCCACGAGGTTGACTTCGGGTAAATACGGACCACAAAGTCGATCTCGAAATGCGGCTGTCCCTCCGGACCGAACGGATCCTTGCCCCCGTTCTGCGCCTTCGCCTCCCGGTACTCCTTGTATCTCTCCAGACGGTCATCAATGCGAGGCAGTCCCACCAGCTCCAGCAGTCCGCTGCTGTAGGGCCCCTGCCTGCTCTCCCGGTACTTCTGCACGGCGGCGGTGTGCGCGGGCCCGGCCCGGAGCAGGTGGCTATCCAGCCCCATGCCCTCCTTCAGCCGGAACACATGCGGCATGATGGGGTGGTCGAGGAGGTTCTGGCCCACGTGCTCCGAGTGGACCACGGGCTCGATGCCGTGACGCACGAGCTCCTTCTTGGGCCCAATGCCCGACAGCATCAGCAGCTTGGGGGTCTCGAAGACGCCGCACGCGACGATGACTTCCCGCTTGGCCTCGATGATCACCTCTTCCGACCCGTCCGGCCCCAGCACGGTGACGCTGACGGCGGTGTCGCCGTCGAAGTTGATCTTCTTGGCGATGCACGAGGGCATGATCACCACGTTCGTCTTGCCGGTCAGGTACGCGCCGCTGGACGATCGCTCGCCCCGGTAGATGCTGGTGACGCAGTGCGTGAGCCCCTCCATCTTGCCGGAGTAGATGTCCTCGCTGACGGGGTGGCCCGCGCCCGTCCAGGCCACGGTGAGTGCGTCGCGGAAGGGCCGCAGCTCGGGGACGAGGTCCGCGTGCGAGACGTGCACCGGTCCGTCGCGACCGATCTTGGCCAGCTCGTTGGGATACAGGTTGTCGTCGTCGTGGTATGTTGCTGGCTGTTTGACATTGCTCACGTTAGTAGGCGATTCTTGCTCGTGACCGTCATTATAGATGCTGATGCTGAGGATGAAGTCCGCACCTTGCTGAAATACTCCTGGCACCCATCCCACGTCCAAGACGGACCTCCGTACTCGGACCACGCGTCAAAGGTGCCCTTACTACCCGGGATCCAGGTGTAGTAGTTCAAGCAGCTACTACCCCCGAGGACTTTTCCACGGGTGTTGGGCTTCTCGGCGCGCTCGTAGGAGGGCCTGTTGATCATGGTCGTTTTGTAGGCCCAGTCATGCTTGCTGCCGCGCAGGTCAAAGGCGGTAGCCGGGGTGGTGATCTTCTCGATGTCTTGAGGGTTTCTATCGTCTCGGTCGTTTGCTTTAGTCGGGTGTCCTAGTCATACTGTGCTTGGAGGGTCGGTCACATACGCGATACCCGCTTCGATGACCAGCACGCGGACCTCGGGGTTCTCGGCCAGTCGCCCGGCCACCACATTACCAGCAGTACCTCCTGGTGGGATGTTAGAGAGACACTTGTCAACAAAGGAAGAAACGAGTGAGACGTACCGCCGACAACCACAAAGTCGAAGCTATCCGCGCTGGGAACCGTCATTATGCTCGATGCAGGGGAATTGAGATGCGATTAGTTATTAAGGGATGAGAAGAGAGCTGATCTATTACTCCTTTGCAAAGCTCAACAGCCAAAGCTGTCTCTATATAGCGACCGTCCATCAAGCCCACGAAGCCCATCGCAAACACCAGAATGCTGCATCGCCATGACGTATGGGAAGATGATCCACCTGCCAGCCGTTTCACCCGCCCCACTCGGGAGGTGCCAAGATTTTTCTTACTCGTGTCCTGACGAACAGGGCTGGAGCTTTTCAGGGGATGGAGTCAAATGCCGACTTATCTCCAAGAAATAAGTCTCCGAAGTTGGCTGCAACGCGCCGTTGACGGGCTGCGAAGTTGCGCCCCACGAGTGGAGGCACGGGGCAGAATAAGGCCGCGCTATCAGGAGGGTTTGGATCGTCGGAAGGGTCGGAAACACAATTGCTTGTTTTTGCACCGTTGCGGCGGGCTATTTATAATCAATCAAGAATAACTAGACGCCATCAAGACTTTATACATCATCATCATCTTCCCTCCTACTCTGTAATGTTCTGACGTTGCTGCTGCGGGGCTCGATCGACACGAGCAATCGCCGAGGCTCAGCCGGGTGAAACTGGGAAAATCAAGCTTTATCATTGCAGGGGTCAGGATCAGAATTGTGAAGGACCCAGGGTTGGGGTCTAGAACAGGGTTCGTACCTTGTCGGGTCCTCCTCGCTGGAGCGGGACAATCCCATCGCTCGTCGGGCATAGGTAAACCCGATAGGTTGAGTATCGCAAGAGCTGGTGGTGGCACGCTTAAGGAAAGCCGGGGCGGGGCCACCAGCGTAGGCGAGGGTTGTATTCTGTCCACCGTCACATGACAGGCCATTTATACATACACATAACAACCACGCAACAAATTAGGTAGATAAGTGGTGTATTAGATGTAAGGGTAGTGTAGAGGAAGAGATTGCTCTTATTATTGAGATACCAACGGGTCCTCCTAAATACAGGTGCCTGAGTGATACTGTTCACGTGACAGTAGACAATTCTGAGCATCAAGTTCCTTAACCAACTTGTTGTTTTCTCACTAATAGTAATTCGAGTTACTCCTCCATATCATTCAAACCCTGTGAGGACTGTTTCGCCCCAATTGCCGCCATCCAGTAAAGTGCATTCCATATCCAGGGCCTTTTGGCCAGAATTCCAGCGATAGGTAATGGCAGAATACTAGAGACCGCTTCTTAGTAAATAGTGCAACTGCGGTTATTGTTTGTGAGTGGCACGATACCTTGCGTAGTCGATCAAGAATAACGAAGTCCCATTGATTGCCGTCTGTTATCGCACCAGAACAACCAACTTTTGACTGACCCTCTCTCTTGGCTTCCACGATGACCACTTGTGTAGGAGATTTAAGGAGTCTTCATACCATATCGAACAATCGGACGACCCGGCACTCTTGCCTATAGCAAGACCGTCGAGAATCGTCTCGACGCCGAGTCTCATCTCATGGGCACGATTGCCTCTAGTGGCCCGCTATTGATGCATAACAGCACTCAGGATTCGATCGATCCTCATTCTCGCAGCTTCGATGTCTACGACCCCACTTAGTTTCTGCACGGTATGCTTGGGAGGAGTACCGTTTACCGAGACTCTGAGGTAATCGGACGCAGCCTTCCACTTACTCAGAAATGGAAGGATCTTCGGTTATACCGAAGTAAAAATGGATGTCTGTCAGTTCGAGGCTCCTGAAAGGAACCGAGTAATACTCGTCTCCGGCCCACGCGAGGGGTTTCTTGCAGAGGGCATTCATCTCCCTCATTTCTTTCATCGTCGGCGAGCACGACTTTGACGAGAATGCCTCTTTGATTGGGTTCATAGGCGACTGGATTGCTTTTCACGGGGATCGAGGTTTTATTCCATCGGGGTTGATACGAGGCTCACGAATGGCGCCCGCACAGGCGAGGTCACCAGTGGAACGTCTGGCTGTGCCGCTTGCCATGGTATTGTCTTGGGACTTTGAGAACAAATGCGTCGGAAAGGAACACACCGAAAGGTGGCCAGTCTTTCTCGTTAGTAGCGTCGGCCACATAGCTATGTCAGAATTTCTGTCACACTTGGCCTGTGATGCTGAGTTTTCTTGTTTCCATTCGGGGCCAGATAAGTGCGATTCGGTGTGTCTTCGGACTCGTACAATTTGGGCTTCATGGGGAGTTTCGATGGATTGTAAAGGAAAGTTGTGTAAAGGAAAGTTGTGTAAAGGAAAGTTGTACAATGGTTGGTTGGTTAATATGAGTAAGGAGCTAAAGACGTTGGCTTGGCGGTTGTTGTTCTACTTAACTGTCTATATCTCTGAGACAGAAGAATTCGGAGGTGAATGTCTTTACTGGATTCAATGAAGAAGTGATCGCTACGCAGCGAGGACTATGCGAATGCTGGTGAAGTCAGTGAATACATGTTCATTGAGAAGCTCAACCTATCCCTATGAAGGTACTATGCCTGGATGAATCACGAGGCATGAGGAAAGTGAATGTCTGCAACGATGTATACAGTTAATCTTGCTTCAGGGCGAAGGCAAACAAGCGAGAAAGCTCTCTACATTTATACTAGTGAACGCAGTACTAACTTCGCAATTGGAAGGGGGGCATTATCCCGGGGTCAGAGGGGTTTATACTCCGAGACGGTGTATGATTGAGCGAGTGGAAGAGGGAGCTGCGTAGAGACTCTTGCAGTGGAACGCAGCTAACGAATGCCACTATTTACCCCTAAAGTCCGGCAGAGCGGATTTCATGTTAGTTGTGATTAGAGGAATACAGACAGACTAAATATGAGGTTTAAGCCATATCCAGGTATTGTACTATTCGATAGTCGGAAAAGTTTTATTGTATGGAACAGACATCTAATGCTTATGGTAGATGTCCAGTCATCTCCCAGTACTATCTTAAGATTGGTATTAACGAGGCTGAATGTTATATGGAAGTACTGTACGAACTGGCAGAAATCACAGCTTGTCATAGGATAACCGATTTCACTTCCACCCCACCATGAGAACTGTGCATCAATCATTCACCTACAGCCGACCTTAGGGCAACCTCAAATTGCTCCATAAACCCCAGCACAATCCCCCTCGTAACCGTCCGATGCCGCCACACCAAACGCCCCAATACTGCAACCGCCCCGAACCATCCCGCCAAGCCCACCCCCGCCAACGCCATCAGATCCCAGTTCCGCACCTTATACATCGGCATCCTCATATCCGCCGTCTGCAGATGCATCGGGCGGACCTCCTTTCCGTCCACGACCCGCAGCTCGGTGTCATACAGCACCTCCTCCACCAGATCCGCCGCGTAGTGCTTCCGGCGCGACGCCACCCTAGCAATCCGCTGCAGCCGCAGCGACTCGCGCGCGTGCCTGCCGTCGACATCTTCGAGGATGCGGCGTGCCTTCTCGAAGACCTCCTCCGCGGTGAAGGAGAATTTGTTCAGCGACTCCGCGACGCCGCCGTGCACCAGCCGCGCCGTGTTGGCGATCTGGTCCGAGAAGATCCCCATCGCCAGCATGGGCTTGCCGTGGTAGAGACCCTCATTGGCGCTTGAGCCGCCGCCGTGGGTGAAGTAGAGGCGCACGGCCGGGTGGTCGAGAAGGGCGCGCTGGGGGGCGAAGTGGGGGAAGAGGAAGGCCGGGTGGTGGCCGGCTAGGAGGTCGGCTAGAGTGATCGTTCCCTCTCTGGACTCTTTATTGCTGTCGACAGTATTTGATAGCATCGGAGTAGAAGAAGGAGTTACGAACGTGAATGTGGCGGATGGGTCGAGGTCTTGTCGGCCGCTTTGGCCGACCGCCCAGATGACGCCGTCAATGACGGAGATATCCAAAAGCCGGAACAGCGCGGTGAGAATCTTGGACGCGTCCGCCATAGAAAGGATGACATGCGTGCCGAGGGCAATGTAGATGACCTTCTTGCGATCGGAGAGGAACTTGGTGTAATGCTTGTCGCACGGCGGGTATGTGTCGCTGAGTATCGGGCCTACGACGGCCGCGAGCGGCGGCAGGTCGCGCGGGACCTCGAGTCCAAAGAATGAGTTAATGAAGACAAGGTAGTCGGGTTTGCGGGGGTTGGGAATAGAGTAGTACACGCCGTGAGCGCGACGCATTTGTTTCGTCCAGCGGAAGAAGCGGATGATCTCTCTCACGCCCTTGACGACCACGAGCTCGTTCTTCAGACGGAGCCATATGGAGGCGTGCTCGGAGGTGAGGGTTCCGTCTAGCTGAAAGCCCGGCTGTCCGGGGATGTAGCTGCACGGGAGCATCAAGGCTGGCATTTGTGGGTGCACGATGGCCACGGGCACTTGGTATTGGAAATGCATGTCTTTGACGGCATCGACGAAGAAGTCCGCGATGATGAAGTCGGGACGGCGGGCAGGATCATCCATGATATTCTTGAGGTGGTCGTAGGTCACAGGCCAGAAGGAGTCGAACATGTACTTCGAGGGCATGGCGCCTGCTAGGCCGACAGACATGTCCCATTTACGCATGCGCAGGTAATGCTCGCTTAGTTGCTGCTCAGTTGGACCGGCTCCGAGTATATGCAGCTGAGATACGAATGGGTAGTCTTTTGTCCAGTGCTCCTGGCCCTCCATGGTTGCGAAGTCGATTGTGTGGCCTCGCTCAGAGAGAACCTTGCCCAGTTCGAGGACCGGAGCTGGACCTGGGTTAGTAGGTGTACTCAATCTGAAGATGTGAGCGTACCGGCATGGGTAAAGCCACCCGTCGTTGCGACCAGGAGGATCTTGCGGAATGGATATGCGTTATCGCTCATGGTTCCTTGAGGGCCTAGAGATGTAGTTCCATTGTACGTGATATGAGCCGGCATTTTACACGGTATAAGTAGACAGAGGTGAGTCTCCGCTCAAAAGCAGGAGACGATCCGATCATCCCGAGGGCTTTAGTCAGATCGGGGATATGGTTCCATTGTCAGGCCATGGAGTGGATCTGCCTTAGTTCGGCGGGGTTAGCTTGTAGATGAAGCTTAAATTCGGAGCTTTATCTTGTCTTCATCTCACCCTCACCCAGACATGAACCCAGGCAGCAATAGCAGCAATAACAACGATAACAATTTCTCCCTGCAGGGCTTTGGCCTTGTTGTGCTCATGATGCGACCAGTTTGACAGCAGAATAATAGGAAGACGAGAAAAGTTGCCATCCGGCAGGCAGTGCTCGTATAATCCTTCCTCCCCGCCACGCATGCGAGTCTATTCCAGATCGGGAAGCTGTTGCGAAGCACTGCGCCTCTGGGCACCGCCCATTGACCGCATGAATAAAGGACTGTCTTACCTATATCGACCATTCGTATAGGATCCCTTGAAGTTGAAAATCTGGTAGCCTGATACTGGCGATTATTGCAACCAATGCGAGGCACAACCGTCGACATCCTAGATTAAGGTAGTATATATACCACCTCTGAATCGTCTCGTCGCATCAGCGCCCATTGCCGAGACCCATCCATAATTAATCGCCGTGCATAAATCTCGGCGACTTTCCATCCTTCCTCGCAAGATAACGACGTCCATCTCACTACACATCTCAATTTAAGAGTTTTACCATAATGGGAAAATCAAAATCAGCAACCACCAACACCACAACACTGACCAATGCCTCGCCCACCATCCGCCGCTCCGCACTGACCGAGTGCTCTCTGTCCCACCTCACTCCCTCGGACTATATCGCCCGGAGCGTCCTCACGGCTGTCACCATCACCGGCGTGGGTGGCATCGACAGAACCACAGCCTCAACCTCGGCGTCAACTTCCGCCCCAGCCTGTTCATCCAATCCATCAGCAACGATCAGCCGCTCCACCTGCACCAGCTGCACCATCGCACACTCCCACCTGCATCACTGCATCTTCGCCAACTGCACCCTCACCAACGTCTCCTCCAGCAAATTCGTGCAAGCCGACCACTGCACTCTAGAGAATGTCATCTCGCTCCGGAGATGCACCCTCAGCGACTCGATCATCGGCGAGTGGTCGTGGATGACGCGCTGCGAGGTGAGAGCCTCGAAGATCGGAGGCGGGAGTGCTCTGCGGCGGAGTACCATCGGCGACTGTCGCGTGACGGGCAGCCGGTTGAAGAAGGCAAGGCTCGTGAACTGCGAGGTGAAAGGGTGTGTGATTGACAATACTGATCTGAAGGGGCTGGTGGTCAAGAATGGGGTGTGGAAGAATGGAAGCTTGGTGGGCAGGGTCGACCAGAGTAAGGATGTAGTGGTTGTGAGCAGGGATGGGAAGGATAAGGTATGTCGGGTCCCGTCTGCGATCCTGCATAGAATTCCTAAGCATGGGCTATGCTAACGAAGACTTTATGGCAGAAGATCGATAACGCGGTCGGAACGAAGGGAATCGTAGCTGAGAAAAGGAGCATGGAAAGGGACCTGGTTGAAAGTAGTGATGACGATGCTGAAATTGAAGGTTGGGAAAGAAATGGCCAACGACAAATCTGTGAACTTCAAGGGACGGAGCCGCCACCCCCTTATACAGCTTGACGAGGCTATTGAAATCGTTGGACCACGCTGGACGGGCTATAAGCGACTTGGTATGGCAACATGAGCAGTTTCGCTCCTGTGCAACTTTGGGTTCGTGACTTGCTGATCGTGGTCTGAGGCAGCCACTGGCTCGGAGCAGGGCTTCTTTCTAGCAGAGTAATGACTACCAACTTGGGTATTGTTCGGTCTTCAAAAGCACGATTCTTGGATTTCATTGCCAGGAACTACTCATTCAACGCCCCGATACCTCGTTTCATCACCTCAGGTAGTCCACGGTGACCGCCTCATTCAAATGGCCCAGAGCAGTATGTCTTCCGGAGTCTAATCCTTTGTTCGAGGAGCTGAATCAATACCAACCACTTCTAGACAACACAGACACTTCTATGGCGGGTCGAGTGGTGAATCATACCAGTCCCATCAATCTTACACTCAGGGCTACTCATCAGTAGGAGTGAGGATTAGCCGAGGCTGTCGGGTCCTACACAGAGCTTCCGTTACCGCAGAAGCACCTCAGGCGATCGAAGAGAGAGCGTCTGTCGATATAGGCGTACAGACGAGACACTCGATCAGAGATTGTATCCTCCTTCATGATCCACAGGTCAACTAGTGACCGGGTCTGTAGTCGACTTCGTCCAAGCAGTTGACTGTGTCGCATACATAATCATGACAAAGAATCCTTTAAAGAGCCTGGCCAAGATTTTTTCCGAGCTGTTGTGTTGCTCGAACAGCCGCTGCCGAGAAACAAACACCACACACTGTGATTCGAAAAGACAGTGCGATATTGAGGTCGGAAGAGTATAACTTCCGGTGGTGGTGGAGGTAGACCCTCTTCTTAGAAACATAAGTCCCTTCATTGGCCTATTCTCGCAAAGCTCAAATTGTTTCCAAATAGCTTCAGAGTAGTGGAGGTACTAGTACTAGTCTTATGTTATTGTTCGCTTAGTTCGTCGTCTTGCATTGAGGCCAACCGCCAAAGTGCCGGCTGGGCGTAGTCTACCAGTCTAGCTAGCTCTGGGCTAGTTTCCCGAGCTAGCGCACAGACGGCGCCTTGACCGTTCCAGGCTGTAGGCAGCCGCGCCCCTTAAAGTCTTTTCGGATCTTGCGTCATGATGTGGCATGCTGCATGATATGTGACAGGTCTACTCCTTGCAATTTTGTGAATGTTGCTTCACTTGATGCTCTTGACGAAGCAATTTTAGTCGGATAAGTTCGGGGGATGGATCAGGAGAAGAGAAAGGAGAAAACTTGGCGTGGAGAAGGGGCCACAACCAATTTCATTTGGCGTCAAACGGTGGAGAGAACTGGCTCTGCCCTGTAAGTCAGGGAGTGGGTCGCAAAACAGCCTAGATTGCGAAGTATGGGTGGAACCGGCACGAGGTCAGCAGCAGTCAGTCCAGCAGGTAAGTTAATACGTGGCTGGGAGAAACCTGTAGTACAGAAGACTTGGAGTGCATTGATCATATTATAAAGTGGTGCAAACATAAGAGAGAGGAAAGAGGGGAAGAATGTTGTAATACGGAGTAAGTTAGTTAGTACTCAGTGTAGTTACTCACGCACTGCAGTAATTTAGTCATGCTTCATGGACAGCCTTGAAAGGATAACCCGCAAGGCGGTGGGGAACGGCAGAGGCTAACGCCACTTCGCTCCGATCGGCCGGCACCCTTCCGCCTTCCTGAACTAGTCCTTGGTCTGCGACCAGGAATCCTTGGGACTCCAGTCTCTCCTATCACTAACTACTTATCTCTTGTGAGATTTATTTTTCTTGCTCTTCTGCTCTTCTCCAATCTTCCCTATTCTCCTTGATCCTGCTACTGCGAAACTCTTCAGGGACACTCGCTTGGTGCGCCTGGATATCGATCTTCGCCACCTAATTAGGGGTCGCTGTCGTCATCTTTTTCCCATCTTACGCGCGCCACGGAGCGCAAGGCCACACACGATGGGCCTCTCCAAGACCAACAGGATTCTGATCCTGTTGGCTATTGACTCGGCTTTCTTCTTGTTAGAATTGATTGCTGGTTTGTCTCTTCAAACATGAATCTTTGACTGCCGCTTTTCTAACCTGTTGGACTTGAATAGGTTACAGCGTCCACTCGCTTGCCCTTGTTGCCGACTCCTTTCATATGGTACGCCTCGGCCCACACTCTGCAGCCCTCCGACCGCGTTGTTGACCTGTTTGCCATAGCTCAATGATGTTCTGTCTCTATTGGTCGGATTATGGGCCGTCAAAGTCGCCAACCGCGAAACCAACTCGAAGATGTACACATATGGGGTGAGCTGTCCCCTTTCCTGCACACCGCTTGGAACTCGTCCTAACCATCATCGTCCGGTTTGCAGTGGCAACGCGCAGAAACACTAGGTGCCTTGGTCAACGGAGTATTTCTGGTCGCCTTGTGTTTGTCTATCTTCTTGGAGGCCATACAGAGACTGGTGGAGCCTCAGGAGGTCAAGAACCCCAAATTTGTCTGCATTGTCGGTTGCTTAGGTCTGCTATCAAACCTCATTGGCTTAGTCCTTTTCCATGACCATTCTCATGGACACGGCCACAGCCATGGTCACGCAGACATCGAAGAAGGTGACTTTGCGGAGGAAGGCCATGGTCATGAGCATAGTCATGACCCTGTTCCAGTCTTGGAGCAAGGAAACACAACTAGCGTGAGTAGGCCGGTCCCATCTTTCAAGGACACATGTTGACTTCTGATTGCAGCGTACTGCTGGCGCGGACGCCTCTTCCCCGTATTCAAACCGTCGTCGGACCTTGGACAGTCAGCACCGCAGTTCTCGTCGCTACAGCGGCGCAACCGGCCGTGGGTTCCTTGATGTCGAAGAGATCCAAGTCCATCCCGCCACTTTGCGGCAGGAAATCATTGCAGCCAGTCGCTCTCGCTATGATGACCCATCAGGATCCGACACCGACGTGCTTGAGGGTGGGGATTCCGAGGACGTCCGTCCATCCGAACGCTCTGCGCTATTGGGCCACAAGGATCGTGCTGGCAACTATACTGACGCCGGAAATGCGCCTAAGACGGCTCATCGTACTCCCGTGGACGACGACATTCACAGGCATCACAACCATGCCCAGCCTAAACAGAAGGACGAAAAGCATGGCCATGGCCATAGCCATGATCTGAACATGCGAGGTGTTTTCCTTCATGTGATGGGTGATGCGCTCGGCAACATCGGCGTCATCGCCTCCGCCCTGATCATCTGGCTCACTGATTACTCCTGGCGCTTCTATGTGGATCCTGGCATTTCATTGGTGATCACCGTGATTATTCTCTGTTCTGCCATCCCTCTTTGCAAAGCGGCCTCGCGGATTCTGCTTCAGGCTGTGCCCCACGGCCTCAGCATTGATCATATCAAGGAAGACATTGAAGGATTGCCGGGAGTAATGGGCTCCCACCACTTACATGTCTGGCAGTTGAGTGACACCAAGCTTGTGGCCTCGATTCACATCCAGGTCGATACGGAGATTAAGGGCGAGGGCTCGGAGCGGTACATGCGTCTAGCCAGGCAGGTGCGCAAGTGCTTGCATGCCTATGGCATTCATTCGTCCACCATTCAACCCGAATTTGCGCCGGACAGTGATGCTGAAGACACCATTCAATCCCCTTCTCACCCCGATGGTGAAGCCTCTACTTCGACGACGCTCCCAAGCCGTACACCTAGCGTTCCTGAAGGGGATCCTCAGGCTTGTCTTCTTGAATGTGGCGAAGAATGCGCTCAAAACGGCCAGTGCTGTCCGAAGAGGTCGCCGTGACTGCGTTAGGGAGGGGTCGCGATACTCTTCCGTCTAATTACCTCACCTTTACACTTCCTTATAAGACGACTCGCCCTAAAAATACTGTTTCCTATCCGTACTAATCATACCCAATTGTTTCTGGTGACTGAAATGTCATTTGTTGAGTTTGTCCCTGTTAAGAATCTGTTTGGACTCGGCGCATGTTCGGCGGGCACTTTGACATAAATGCATCCAGACGTGCGCATCTCGCGCTTGTTTTCAAGTATCTCTACCAAAATTACACCGTACTATATGTTGGTCATATGTTGGAATTATCAAGCCACCTGTGCTTGTAGGATGCCTATGTAGTAGCAAGATGTAGTAGCAATTCCCAGAGACGGCACATGCTGACGGGCGGTGACCAAAGACGAGGCTTGGAGTGAGACAGGGATGGGTTAGTTCGCCCGCGGTCGGAGGCTGTCAGTTCCCAAAATTGCCAAAATTGGAACAAGACCCCCAAACTAAACTAAACCCAGCTGGAGAAGCCGCGGCGGCCACCTCACACGTGACGTGATCCCGCGCCTGTTTGGCGGCGAAACACACCCCTGGGCTGGCATCTTCACTTGATATTCTCTCATTCTCTCACTTTGACACTTATTCTTCTCTGGATCAAACTATTTTCGCTCGCTTCTTACATCTCTTTTCTTGATCATACTGCATCTCGAGGCATGCCGTCGCGACTCGTTCTTTAATAACTGCTTCAAACTCGTTTCAGCATCGGAGCGGCAATGCCGCATGACGGTAGCTGCATCTCCACTGTGCACCAGCAACCATGAGTTACGCCTACCCTCACTCACACGGCGCCAGCTCTGGCAGCTATCGGCCGGCCAGTCGCGAACCTGATATGGAACCAGCGACATTTTCACGGCAGATGCGAGATTACCTGCCATCATGGACACAACAATGGGCGATGGAACTGACAAATGGAATTCAAAGCTGGGATGGGATGCTGTCATTGCTACGGAGGACATTCCGGTGGATCTTTACCATCACAAATGCGCTGGTAGTCCTGTGGGCTTGCACGCTTTGGTGGGGAGAGCGGACCATTTTCCAGGACAGCGTCAAGGCATGTGCGTGGGGAAACTGGGAGAAATGGGTATGTGACATCGTTGCTTTACGGCCCTTCGCCGACTGTCTCTATCTTTGGATCCATCTAACAGTGGTGCTCTGTAGCCTCAAGACGCCGTGCCGCACCATGTCGCGTTCATCGCCGATCCCCAACTAGTCGATCCTCATACCTACCCCGGCCGGCCGTGGCCCCTGTCGACCTTGACCGTCAAGTTCACCGACCAATACATGCGGCGTTCGTTTTCTACATTGCAGAAAGAGCTGGGTCCCGACTCGGTACTATTCCTGGGCGACTTGTTCGATGGCGGCAGGGAATGGGCGACAGCAACTAGCTCCAGTCCGGAGAAGCGGTACCAAAAATACAAGGATCGGTTTTGGAAGAAGGAGTTCCATCGATTCACTAAAATATTCATGGATACCTGGAATCAGGGCGATGGACACGCGAGCGATCCTCGTGGGCGAAGAATGATCACGAGCTTGCCGGGCAACCACGACTTGGGCTTTGGGTCGGGTGTCCAGATCCCTGTTCGGGAACGATTCCAGAGCTTCTTTGGGAAAGGTAATCGCGTGGACGTGATCGGCAACCATACCTTTGTCTCGGTTGACACCGTCTCGCTGAGCGCCATGGATCAGCCTGATCCGGAGACTGGCAGCTCGGGTGCCGGCACAGGGGAGGGGGTCCTGCCAAACCAGCGCATCTGGGCGGAGACGGAGCAATTTCTCAACAATATGAACGTGCACCGGGGCCGGGCGGAGATGGAATCGTTGCGCATGATGAGAAATGAGAGCGAGGGGCATCTTTATGTGCATCGGGCTGTGGACATTTTGGAGCCCTCCTTCTATCACCGACCGCAGCCAGAGATTGCAGGCCTCCCCGCGATTCTCTTAACACACGTCCCGTTGTATCGCAAACCGGCCACGCCATGCGGGCCTTACCGAGAGCGGTATCCCCCAACGGATGACAACCTGGAAGAGGATGAGCGCAACTCCATACCTATGGGGCGGGGATACCAGTACCAGAATGTGTTGACGCCCACCATCTCGCGGGACATCGTGTCCAAGGTTGGGCCTAACCTCGTTCACGTCTACTCCGGGGATGATCATGACTACTGCGAAATTGCTCATCACGAATTCAGTGGGTCCCCCCGGGAAATCACGGTGAAGAGCCTGTCTTGGGCGATGGGGATTCGACGGCCCGGCTTCGTGATGACCAGCCTGTGGAACCCTGTCGACAAGGCGACCGGGCAGTCGCTGCAGTCGTCCGGATCTGGTCGGACTGTGCAGAATCACTTGTGCCTTCTTCCCGACCAGCTCTCCATTTTCATCAACTACGGGCTTGTCTTGGCTTTCACCCTGATTGTTCTCCTTCTCCGGGCGGTGTTTGTGGTGAAACATCCCTCACAAGCTAGCGCGGCGGACCCCATCCTCCCTCTGTCGGAGAATCGCAGTCGCCCTCCACAGCGCCCCGCCCGATACAAGAGCCCGTCTTCTAGTACGTCCAGCTCCACGCTTCCATCCCCGCACGGCTTGGCTAGTCGCGCGACCAACAATCCTCCTTTGCACGCCACTTACGCAAGTGCAGATGAGGATGAGCTGAGTAGCGCGAAATGGAAACCGACGCGGGATGGCTCTGGGCGCCGAGCCGGCCGGACTACGACCACGGCCGGGAAGATTAAGGGGGAGTTTGTAGATTCCGTGAAGTACGTAGCGGGGATTGTGTTTGCGTGGTATTTCTTTCTCATTTGGCGTTGGTAGAGGAAATAAAAGACATGGAATGGTGGGGCGGAGTTTGTAGACATGGCGGGTTTTTGTCCTGAATATATACATTTGCGAGATTTAGCACTCGGGACAGAATTTCACTGTAACCTCGCTGGTCCAGGTTTCGGAGTTTCAGTTCTGTATGTGGGCAATAGCATACTCATCAATCATACCACCGATGAGCGAGAATCTCAAGCCAGTTTCGATTCGAATTGCCTCCATTTCGTAGAGTACAGCATCGTTGTACCTGCTATAGACAATCCGTTAGGGTGATACATGAAAGCGAGGGCCTTGCGCGCGGGACGCAGGTAGCCTGTCGGAGCAGCCCACACACGTGATTAGAGCAGGCGGGTACCCTTAACCCTATCTAGCCTTCGCCCTAGCATATCTTGTGTAACCATCAAACTACCACCAAAGGATTTGAGATATCATCGACGTTTCTGGCCCAAACGGCCTCATTTATTCGTTCAAACGTCATGTACTACTGCCAGAAGTTCCTAGCATACACTGTCCGATGTAGTGTAACGGCTATCATACCTGTCTTTCACACAGGAGATCGGGGTTCGATTCCCCGCATCGGAGAGCTTCAATTCCTTTTTTTGTGGCTGGATCTCGTCTTTTTTTCAAGAGCTACAGACGACAATCTACTTTTTTGTTGGGGTGTAATGGGTGGTCCACGCGGGTGACACGTTCCTGCACTTCTTGGCCAGCAAACCACAACTTCCCAAGGGCTGAATAAAGCCATTGGAGGCCAAAAGATGGAAGATGTGTTTTAGGTGGCTAACTCTAAAGAAAGTCTCTCCAAGCTAGATTATCTTACATGAGCTTGTTGATTGGATGTTTATCGAACTCCAGAAGTCTATGAAGGCATTGTCTAGTCAAATGAGCTGGGCAGGGCTGGTCAGAGAAGAAAAGGGATGGATTGATCCCGTCCCATGTAGGTGACTATCGTACGGCAGATGTGAGAGACAGAGCCATTGCGATCCTGCCTTCTGCACAGAGAGCCTCAATTGCCTTCCCCATACGGAGTACATTTCTACTTGCTCTGTCTCACCTCCATCGCTGGTGTCTGACCCAGAAACCCAAACCCGGGGGGACGCAACATCTAGGTAGGGATGTATGGACCATGCACAGCAACCCCGCATTCTGACACTGGCCTTAAGACCACCGCCACCAATGGCATCCAACACGGCAACCTCTGAAGCGGGAAAGAAACAGGCTCCCTCACCTAAGGATGACGTTGAACCGTCCCCAGATCCTCGTGTTTTGGTGAAGTTGACTTTGATCCCGCGGGGGAGGGGTAGATCACCTCCTTTTCGATTTGGAGTGCCGTGCCCAGTGGCTGCCTAAACAGATTTCATTTGCCAACTCTATTTCTGCCCGGGAAGAGAGGGGATCTGGTGCAATCAGAGCGGCACCACCGTCACAGATGGTGCCCGCGCCGTCTTTTTTGGCGGGGTCGGGAAATGATCGCACACAGCAAGCCTCCGTCCTCCGCTCCGGCAATAATCTATCGGCTCGGGGGAGGGGGCATCCAGGAAAGTTTCTTGATTGTGTTACTTGGTTATTCTTGTCCTCCATCGCATTAGTCAAGAATTCGGTAGACTAGGTCGTTAGTCATGGGTGGGATCTGAAAATAGCATCATTTCGCCCTCGTGGGAGTTCGGCATTTTGGAGACTCAGAGTCAAGCATCTAGATGGGCTCCAGATGACAGACACAAGTGTGAAAAAAAAAGTCCGGGGATGTTGATCATGTGGCAAAGCAAGGATGAGAAAAAATTTTCCGCAAGGTGCAAAGCCACGACTCTGGACCTGGATCGAGGGGAAATCGCCGACGCTCGCCAGGGACCGATAGAGAACAAACCTGGCTCTAAGCCGAGTTCGGGTTCCCGGTGAGAATGTTGGTTGGTGAAGGATGGACCGATGGGGTGAAACTTGGGGAGGCCCTGGAGGGTTTGCTTGTTGCTTTTCGGCTCTGGCCGTGCTGGAAAGCTCCTGAACCATCGGGTGAGCCGTGGTTCGGGGTTGAGTACTGAGGACTGTGGCTGAGGCAATTGGAGGCTAAGGAAGTTGGGCTAGTTTAGCGTTGGATTTAGCGTGGGAAAATAGAACGCTTTTCACGGTTCACCCCACGCCGGGCTGGTCTGGGGAAGAAAGTTCCAAAAGTTTCTGATCTTGTGATCATCTTGATAGACTGACAGTTCGGGCAAAATCGCCGTCAAGATTTCCGAATTGGCTCTAGTTCAGTTATGTAGAGAGTGCTTCTGTTTATTGTGGCTGATTTGGCTGATTTGGCTGATTTGGCTGATTCGGGATGGGGAGAAATGTCAAGACCGGCTACCCGAATGCGGTCTGGAGTTTGTTGTAACTTGTCAGTGTGGCCGTTCCCGGTGCTGGGCCGGCTTCTCTTGTTCACCTCCCGTCTGTTCTCTAACTTAGCGGGGAATACTGTACACTGCCTTTGTTCGGCACATCAGGTGCTAAATCTATTCACTTTCCACCTTAGATTCGAAATCCACGGCAGGGTCTTAGAGATACCTCGGAGATGGGTTGGCAACAAACCTCCTCGGGCACCGGCGAGAGCCAGTGTTGTCCCCACCGGTCGGCTTTGCGCACCAGAAACCCTCCCGGCTAACGCACTCTCTCGGGACTAGTCCCGACACTGGACAATGGCGATCGTCGGCCTGGCCTCGTGTCTTGTCGTCTCAACTTCTCAACACTCCAGTCTCCACACTCCAGACTCGGGAAGGCCCTGACAAACGACGCGGGGGAAAAGAATGTTCGGTCTCGTGGCCTGGCCGGCCTGGCCCCTACTCTATTCCGGGCTGTGCCATTCACTCGTTCACCCATTCACTCATTCGCTTCGATTCCGGTCCGTCAGCAGTCCCCGGCCGGCCGGATCTGGGGTTGACCAGACTCTCTCGGCCTTGTCCCCCGTGCACTACAAAAGCGTCGTGATATCCCCAGCTCAGATTGACTTTCTCATCTTCATCTCCATCATCTTCTCCATCATCATCATCATCATCATCATCTCCATCTCCATCATCAACTGCCCTACAGCTCTCATCAACACCCCATCCACGTGATCTCATTCTATTTACTCTTGACTGTCTACCATCGTTCGCACTGAAGAACTCTCTGCCATTGACTGTTGACAAACACACCCCCTCCACCACTACCCCTGCTGATCCTACTTGTGATCAATCTACCATGGGTTTCATGCTGAAGAAGCCTGATCAGGCAGCGGGCTCGGCCGCCCCTGCCATCATTGTTGGCCTGTTTGCCGCCTTTGGAGGTATTCTCTACGGATATGACACCGGTACTATCAGCGGTATCATTGCCATGAAGAAGTGGCGCGAGATGTTCTCCACTGGCTACGTGAACCCCAAGGATGGACTTCCCGATATCACCTCCTCCCAATCTTCCATGATTGTCTCTCTGTTGTCTGCTGGTACTTTCTTCGGTGCTCTCTGTGCCGCCCCCGTGGCCGACCGCTTTGGTCGTCGCCTGGCGATGATCCTCGACTCCTTCGTTTTCTGCTTCGGTGTCATTCTGCAGACTGCCGCCACCCGCATCCCTCTATTCGTGGCTGGTAGATTCTTCGCCGGCTTTGGTGTTGGTCTCCTCTCGGCAACCGGTATGTGCTCCCTTGGAGTGGATGATCTAAGGCGATAGATGCTAACAGCGATCCAGTTCCCCTTTACCAGTCGGAGACTGCCCCCAAGTGGATCCGTGGTACTGTCGTCGGCGCCTACCAGCTGGCCATCACCATCGGTCTTCTGCTCGCCTCCATCGTCAACAATTCCACCAAGGACCGCATGGACACTGGCTGCTACCGCATCCCTATTGCTATCCAGTTCGCCTGGGCTATCATCCTGGTGACGGGTATGCTCATCCTGCCCGAGACTCCCCGTTTCCTGGTCAAGCACGACCGTCACGAGGCTGCGGCTCAAGCGCTCGCCCGTCTGCGCCGTCTCGATGTCAACCACCCCTCCATCGTTGAGGAGCTCTCCGAGATCCAGGCCAACCACGAGTACGAGCTCAGCGTTGGCAAGGCCAGCTTCGGCGACATCTTCCGTGGCACTCTGGGCAAGCGTCTGCTCACAGGCTGCTTGGTCCAGGCCCTGCAGCAACTGTCTGGTGTCAACTTCATCTGTAAGCTTCCCTCCTTTTCCACATTCTCATCGATCCGTGTCTAACCTTCGCTGCAGTCTACTACGGAACCACCTTCTTCCAGAATTCTGGCATCAAGAACAGCTTCACCATCACCTTGATCACGAACATCGTCAACGTGTGCTCCACTTTCCCCGGTCTCTGGCTCGTTGAGAAGTGGGGTCGTCGTCCTCTCCTTTTGTTCGGAGCCGTTGGCATGTGTGTCTGCCAGTTCATTGTCGCTATTGTCGGCACAGCTACCGACTCGGAAGTCGCCAACAAGGTGCTGATCGCCTTCGTCTGCGTCTACATTTTCTTCTTCGCTTCCACCTGGGGTCCCACTGCCTGGACGGTGACCGGTGAGCTGTTCCCCTTGAAGGCTCGCGCCAAGTGCCTGTCAATCACGACTGCCTCCAACTGGCTCCTGAACTGGGCTATTGCCTACGCCACCCCCTACATGGTGGACTCCGGCCCGGGCAACGCCAACCTCCAGTCCAAGGTGTTCTTCATCTGGGGTGGGTTCTGCGCTATTGCCGGTGTCTTCGTGTACATGTGCATCTACGAGACCAAGGGGCTTTCTTTGGAGCAGGTTGATGAGCTCTACGCCAAGGTGTCTTCTGCCTGGCGCTCGCCCGGCTTTGTTCCCTCGGTGCACTTCACCGATGTTCGGGATGTGGCCGAGGGCAAGGCTCGTGGCACTCTCGGGGAGTTGGAGCACGATGCTCAGATGAAGCGTGAGCACGAGCACATTGAGTCTGCCTAAGGCTATGGATCTGGTCTTCTGTTTTGTTTTTGGAGTACGGGTTGGACATTGGGATTAATAATTGGGAACGACATTTATCATGTATAGTATGAGCATTTTGCTTGAGAAGCGCAGCGATTGAGTCATGTTATGTGTTATGAGAATTACAGTTCAACTGTCATATGTGTCAACTGTCAGTGTCGTCTTTAAGAATGCGAATGATGCATACCTATTGAAGCTTGAGTGATAATTCTTAGTATGGGTTGAACCTTGGATGAACCAATAAGTGGCAGTGTAAGCAGAACTCCGACGTCACCAGCTTCGACATAGTAAGTATGATGACGCCTGAGGCCCCAAGGGGGGTGTGATTGGGTGCCACCGCCCCACGGGATTACGCGCAATGGCCCCTCTCACGTGATCGCAACCAGGAGTTCCTCTCCCAAAACGGCAATCACGGGGGCTGTTCCCGCTCCACCGAACACCCTCCACCATCATCATCCCTCATCATCACCTGCTTCTCTACTGCCGATCGATCCCTCTCCTTATTTCGTCCCCTTTCCCCTCCAACCCCCCCGACCCCCTCCAAATTCCTTTTTCTTTTGGTCTCCTGACAATGTGGTCCCTTGTACTCTACTACATCCCCTGATCGCATCATGTTTCTTTCGTCCGACCCGGACGGTGAGACCCTGGGTCCATCCGTCAGTATCAGCCGTGGGCCGGACCCTGGCCTAGGCTCCCAGGACAATAAAGCGCACTACTTTAGCACCGCCATCGAAGTCGGAACCATCGAACAGCAACACCATGAATTGGGCTCGCGAGGGGATCGATCATCACCAAAGGGATTTGAATTGCAGGACTTAGGCCCCAAATTGAACAGTGACGACAAGAACTCCGCCACAGTGACCGACAGACTGCTCGGAGACGACGAGATGAGCACTACGATCTCGACGCTGGCCTCGCATCCGCTGTTCCCACCACTCCCCACTTACGGACCGCCCTCCTTGGTCCTCTCGCTGAAATGCCTTCTGATCCGCTGCGTCTCCTTCGTCCTGTCGCTCCTGTTTCTGGGTACGGTCATGGTGGCAGCCGTCGTTCACACCGTGGTCAATGCCGTCATCTCACCCTCTCACCGCAGTCGACGTGGCCAGGATCCCGGCGAGGGGCGCAAATTCTCCGCAGAAGAGCGGTCACGGCGCACGGAGCGGATCAAGGCGCTGCGGCGCTGGAGCTCTCGACAGGAGAAGGAGGTCAACGAGGAAGGGCTGGATGAGTGTCCACCATTAGAGGGTGGCAAGGATCCCATCGTCTGTGACGTGGCGTACTATGCCCGTCGGGTTGGGTTAGATGTTGAGACCTTCAAAGTACAGACGGAGGACGGGTTCATTCTCACGCTATGGCACGTCTACAATCCACAAGAGTACACTCCTTCGCCGGCTAAGGATCGTCGCCATCGCGGACCAGAAGTGTTCACGGGCGAGACAAACCCCGAGGTCTCAAAGCGTTCCACGCCTCGCAAGTATCCCGTCCTGCTGATGCACGGGCTGCTCCAAAGCGCCGGAGCTTTTTGCGCCAATGACGACGACAGTCTTGCGTTCTTTCTTTGCAAATCTGGCTACGACGTCTGGCTGGGCAACAACCGATGCGGTATGACGCCTGAGCACACCACTCTCCTTGAGACGGACCCGCGGATGTGGTCGTGGAACATCCAGCAGATGGGCGTGCTGGACCTGCCGGCGCTCATCTCGCGCGTCCTGTACGAGACCGGCTTTGAGAAGCTGGGCCTGGCGTGCCACTCGCAGGGCACTGCGGAGACCTTCATTGCCCTTGCGAAAGACCAGCGGCCCGAGCTGGGAGAGCGCATTTCAGTCTTCTGCGCTCTGGCCCCGGCCGTATACGCGGGTCCACTGATCAATAAAGTGTGTCTGAGGTTCATGCGTATCATTCCGCCACTCATCTTTCGCGCCTTCTTCGGCATCCACTCGTTCATTCCGTTCATGATGACCGTCCATCGCCGTCTCCACCCACGCATCTACGGCGCCCTCGGCTACTATGTTTTTTCGTTCCTGTTCGGCTGGAACGACGCCCGGTGGGACCGCGCTCTTCGCGACCGGATGTTCCAGTTCGCGCCAGTCTATGTCAGCGCGGAGACGATGCGGTGGTGGCTCGGACACGGATGTTTCGCCAACCATAAATGCATTCTCGCGACAGAGGAGTCGACGTTGACTGAGATGGAAGAGGATCTTCGCCACAGCAACGAGTCGTCCCCGCCTCGCCGCGACACCGCATGGTATGGACCCCAAGTTCCCCCGATGGCCTTGTGGATCGCCGGCTCGGATAACCTCGTCGACGGACAGCAGTTCCTGCAGCGGCTGCAGAAGGGCCGTGAACCGCACGTCCGCCTGGTGCACGCCAAGGTCATCGAGGAGTACGAGCATTTGGATGTCCTATGGGCTATGGATGCCGTCGACCAGGTGGGGCAGGAGGTGCGGCAGGTGTTGTGGCAGACGATGCCGGAGGAGGCACGGGCGGTGTGTCGTGTGCCTCGAGGGGTGGAGTAATGTGGTTAACCTTGGGTTGTATATAAACGAAGCGAACCCTGTACATATGTCGATTCTTCTGTATTTTTAGACATGAGACACGACCATAGACATATTTATCAAGCCTTGTGACTTGTATTTCCCTTCCTCTATCGCCACCGCCCGAGTCAAGGAGATGAGAAACTGCCTCCATACCAAACTCCAGCAACCAGACGACTGCTCAATGCCAATGCTCCCCCAAAAACCGCAACACCGTCCGATACCCGCGGAGATACTCCTCCCGCACGTGGGGATCACTCAAATCCGCCCGCGCCGCCATCCACCCATGCACCTGGTCGCCGAACGTCTCGACATGATGCGGCACGCTCAGCTTCGCCTCAAACGCCTGCACGGTCTCCGGCGCCTCCTCCTGCGACGCGAGCAGGATGTAGGGCACGGCGATCTTCTCCGCGCCCGCCGGGTCGATCATGGCCGGGTGGGCGGCCGCCGCCACGGCGAAGGGGTTGGTGGACGGGTTGGACGTCACCAGCTCGGTGACCTTTCCGCCCCAGCAGAACTACATTCCTAAGGTATTAACGAAGAAGATCCTTTTGGGTGGGGGAAGAGAAGGGGAAGGGGAACGGGAACGGGAAGGGGGTTATGTATATACGTACCCCGATCAACGCCCACGATGTTATGGTGGGGTTGGCAGCTTGCACGGCCTCGACGTAGGCGGGGAGGGCCTCGGCCACGGCCACGGGGTTGTTTTGGCCGAACCATTCGCCTAGCTTGCTTTGTTTCTCCGGGGTGTCCGGGGGATACCTACCATGTATCAGATTAGTTTGGTTGAGTGTGGGTTTTGGTGCGAGGGGGGGTTAAAGGGTAAGGGTGGGTAGGGGGTTGTATCTAGGTGGATAATGTAGATGATGTGTACGGTACAAGGGCTGGCAAGGCAAAACCCACCATTCAACCGGGCACGGCTTCCCCTTGAACCAATCCGGCATGAAGAGGCGGTACTGCTGGCTTGCCCCGCCGCCGGTGGCCAGGATATCGGCGCCCTGCAGTGTCTGGTCGAAGTAGCCGAAGATGTCGAAGATGGAGATTATGCCTTTTGTGGTGGTGGCGGGACCGGTCACATCTATTTCTCTTTGTTAGTCTGTCGTGTTGGAGGGGGTGGGAAGCGAGGGGGGGATGAGAGGGGGCCAGGGGCATCATACAGGTCTTCATCCCCCCGAGCTGCTCGTAGGATCCCTTGGGGATGTAGCCGTCGGCGACCACGGGGGGGATGTTGCAGCAGGCTTCGTTGTGGCCGTGCGTGGCTGGCATGGCGGTCGACATGGTGGCTGTTGGGTGGTATCGGGTTGCGCGGGAGAAAAGGTTGGGCGGGGGGATTGTTGGTCTGTTGGTATTGGGAGGCGAGAGGGTTGTCAGAGATCTGCTGCCTGTGGTGATGGCTGTAGTGGTGGTGGTGGTGGTGCTGCTGCTGCTGCAGTGCGGACGAAGGAGCGCTGGGGACGGGGAGGAGGATCTTTTAGTAGCTGGTGTGGTAGTCGGAGCGGGGCGGGGCGTCGCGCGACTGAGATTCAGGTTGAGCGGGGGAACGCGCAGGGGAGGGACCATTGTGAGTGGGCTGATTTTCTTTTCTAGCTTCGATGCTTGTAAGGATTCCTTTCAAGATCTTGGAAGGTACACTGCACGCTTCCATACTTCAATCAGCGGACTCGGAGAGAGAGAAGGCAAGAGGGGGGTTTTGTACCGAAGAATTCCGAGCCGGGGCTATCGGAGGCAGGCCTCGCATATACGGCCGGCGGGAGGATGGAATTAGGGCTAGCCTGGGTTGGAGGTCGTCGAGTCCGTACACTCCGAATATTATCATCCCATCCGACGATATAATGAGCACAAGTGGCAGCTAATGCATCTTGACCCCCTGGTGAGAGAAAATAAGAAAACATTAAATTACGAATCTGGGTTCCAAGCCTGTCGCTGGAGCTGACACCCAACCAATCAATCCACATAACCCACCCACCCACACCCATACAATCCTCCAGAACGGAAGATGGCCACTCCCACCCCCACAACCCTAACCTCAACCTACCTCTTCAGCGCCACCGTCAACCTCAGCCCGCCCCTCAGCCCCATCTCTCTGCTGGAAGGCGGCGTCCGCATCGTCGAGCCCATCACCGGCGGCACCATCTACGGCCCGGGCTTCAACGCGACCATCGAGGGCGGCCTGGCGGCGCCCATCATCGTCTCCAGCAACGACACCGGAAAGGCGCAGATGGCCTTCATCTGGGCCTACGGGCATGCCGACGACGGCGAGCCGTTCTTCATCGAGGAGTCCGGCATCGGCACCGGCGGCACCCAGAACACGCGCCTGATCATCCAGGTCGGCGGCAAGTACCGCAACCTCCAGACCATGTATGTGCTGGGCCAGCCGACGGTCAACGAGGCGCGGACGGTCGCGTTGGTGGAGTGTTTCGGGGTGCCGTTGCCGTGATGCCTTCCAGAGATGTGTGGGGAATGGCAGGGTTGGTGGGGTGTAGATAGTGGTTTAGCACGAGAATAGATTTCTACTGGCCATTTACCTGAATGGTCTTATGATACTTGTCTCTTCTCTTCACTCAAGTTAGAACTGCTGAAAGAATATAGAAAGAAACGGTCCGTTGCAGGTCAAAGAACTTCCCAACCCATGCCATGCAAATTTGATTTTGGAACATTACAAACGATGTGGCTCAGTACAACGAACAAGCAAAACGAGATTCTTATGTATCTAAGACAAAGAAAGGCTAAATCCCCGAATCATCCTGCGGATACGGCGCCGTCGCCCACCAGTAATCCCACTTGTCGCACGTCTCGTCAAACCCACCCCTCTCCGCGGCCTGCAGCGTGATATCCCGCTGGTTCTCCACGAACTGCAACGCCAGCCCCTGGCCTGCATGCCACGCGATGTGGCAGTGGACCAGCCAGGCGCCCGGGTTGTCCAGCTGGAACGCGATGACCAGGTGGCCCCGGGCCGGCAGGATGGCCGTGTCGCGCCGCGGCGGGTTGACCGTCTCCCACGAGGTGGTCGTCCCGTCCCAGGTGGCACCCTCTTGGGCGAGGATCCAGAAGTCGTGGCCGTGGAGGTGGATCGGGTGGGCGATGGCGCCCAGCAGGGCGACGGCCTTGTTCTCGATGACGAGGACAGCCCATTCGTTGCTTTCGGTGGGCGATTTCTTCTGTTGCGTGTTAGTGTTGGCTATGATTATCTGGGAAAGGGGGATGGAATTGGTGGGTAGGTCGAGGAAAGAGGGGCTACATACATCGACTTTGATCACGTTGGACTGCGACGGGAAGGTAGTCTCGCCGTCGAAGATCTGCATGAGCGTCGGGCGGTTCCAGTCCAGCATGAAGGAGCTGCTGTTGATCGTCCACTGGAAGAACGAGGCCCCCGTCAGCCGGACATTGATGTCTTCGACCGTCGTGCCGGTGATGTTGGTCACGTCCAGCTGCAGGTGCGGCACCAGTCGGTCGAGAGGCTCATCCAGACAGACAGCGGGTGGCTGGACGTGGCTGACACTCGTCGGAAGCGACTGAATCTGGCTTCTGCGACTCCCCGTGCTATAGCGAACAATACCAGTAGAATCATCAGGATGGTCGTTGGCCACACCGGCACAGGACTTGACCCAGCCGGCGCGGAGCCAGTAGTCACCGGGCGGGGCATTGGCCTCGACAATGACATCGTACCGCTGCGCCACGTTGATCAGCACATTGTCCGTGGAGTAGGGCTCGATCGGCACGAAGTCCGTCGAAATGACCGTCAGGGTATGGCCGTCGATGCTGAACTGGAACTGACTGTCCACGGCGACGTTGATCAACCGCAGACGGTATTTCTTGCCGGGCTCGAACACGGCCTCGAACTTACGGCCACCGCCCACGCAGTTAGCATCAGCACTGTCACCCGAGAGGCAGTCGAAGGTGTTGGTCCCGTTGATCAGCAGGTTATTCTGGGATTTGGTCATGCCGTATTTCTCCTTGGCGGTCCAGTCGATGTAAGACGGAGTGTGCGACCAGTCCTGCAGGAACAGCGTCCCCAGGTCCTCGTCGTAGTTGGCCGTCGCTGGCCCCTGGATCACCAAGGGTCCGAAGAGCCCCTCCGCGTATTGCAGCGAGAAGTGGCTGTGGTACCAGGTGGTTCCGTACTGGGTCGCCTGGAATCGGTAGGTGAAGGTCTCCCCCGGGGTGATCGGACATTGGGTGACTCCCGGAACGCCGTCGTTGTGGACATTATTGTGCTGTCGGACTCCGTGCCAGTGGATTGATGTGCCGTTGGACTTCAGGTTGTTGGTGACGTGGATGACCAGCTCGTCGCCCCAGTTGGCTGTGATCAGTGGGCCGGGCATCGTTCCGTTGAAGGTCATGCAGGGTCGGTTGTAGCCATCCTGATTGCAGATGCCTTCCTGCACCGAGAGCCACACCTCGACGGTGTGTCCTGTGGTGGGGACTGTGGTGTAGTAGTTGGTGTCGATGCTGTACTCGCCCCAGCAGTGCCGCGAGGTGGGTGTGTTTTCGCACGTCTGGCTGCTGGCACCGGTGATGACTGGATTGACAGGTACGGACAACACAGCTTGGTCGCTGGTTTCCCAGAACCCTTGCATTCCGGTCCAGCCGGTGACATAGGCGAGAAAGGTGTACAGCACTGCCTTCATTTTGACCCCGAAGAATTGACCAAGGCCACCAGATCTGAGTCGCTCTTTCCCAAAGCTCAGTATGCAGAGTGACAGGGCTGTAAAGAGAATTGAGATGAGGAAAACTTATTTTATTTTCTGATCTTCAGCCGCCGGTCATTGTGCAGCGGAGTGACTAGACTTTAGCTGCATGGATGGTGTGCCGGGGTCGATCGGAGCCCAAAGGGGGATTCGGAGAAATCAGCCTGCTGCGCTCCGCCCGCAATTTTCGGGGGAAATCCCCCAAAACCGGCAGTTCGGAGCCTCACCACCCTCCCAGTTAGGGCTGACTTCATATATCGGATTCCAGACATTTCCATCTTTCGACTCTGTCCAATGCTGTTTTTTTTTGTGAGATGAGTTAAGTCAAGGGTCGCTTCAAACCCTCCCTCTCAGAAAAAAAAAACACACCACCCAAAATGTGGCTCCTACCACAGACATTGGTAGCTCTCCTGGGCGTGGCGACCGTCTCCGCGCTCCCCAAGACCTGCCACGCCCCGGAGCTCCCTCTCCCCCTGCGACAAATCTACCAATTTCCATCCTTCCCCACATACCTGGAAAGCATCTACGTGCGCTCCAACGGCGACCTCCTGGCCGTGACCGCCTTCCCCGACGCCTCGCTCTACTACCTCACTGGGGTGACCAACGCAAATGACCCGGACGACCCGCCCACAGTAACCCTAATCCGCGCCTTCGACGAGGTGAACACCCTAACCAGCATCATCGAAACCCAGCCGGACATCTTCACCATCGTAGCCGGCAACACCTCGACCTACGCAACCGTCATCCCGGGGACCTTTGGCGTGTGGGAGCTCGATCTCCGTCCCACCAAAAACAACAGCAAGCAGCCCCCACAGGCCCGGGAGATCGTCCGCATCGCCGGCGGCGGCTTCATGACGGGGATGGACACGATCTCGCCCACCACCGTGTTGGTGTCGGACGCCTCCAACGGCCTCGTCTGGCGCGTCGACCTCACCACCGGCGCCTACGACCTCGCCATCCAGGTCCCCGACATGCACTACCCGCCCTGGGCCTCTGCACCCGTCGGCATCGACGACATCAACATCCACAACGGCTATCTGTACTGGAGCAATGCCTTCGCGGCGACGCTCTCGCGCATCCGCCTCACCGACGACGGGTACGCGGCGGCCGGGGCGGAGAGTGAGCTGGTGGCCGAGGTGCGGTCCATCTTCCTGGATAAATTCACGTTCGGGGGTGGGAATGCGGACGGGAGATACGACCGCGAGACGATCTGGGCGATGACCAATGCTGATAGTCGCGTGTTGGCGATCACCCCTGAGGGGGAGATTCTCACCGTCGCCGGGCAGTCGGATCAGATGACCGTCGCGGGGTCGACGACGGGGGCGTTTGGGAAGGTGAAGGGCGATACGAAAACGTTGTATGTTCTTACTGGTGGGGGGTTCAATTTTCCGATCAATGGGTCGATGGTGGAGCCGGGGAAGATTGTGGCCATTGATACGGAGGCGTTTTGGTAGGGGTTTCAGGCAGAGTCGTTAGGGTAGGGGGAGTCATCATGGTATTACTGTTCTTAGGATGCTTTTATTGCTCGCATGAAAATGATTTCAGGGTCACCTGGCCTTTTAGGAAAGATCTGAGATAGAAGCAGGGGTTGAAGTCAGACGATATGCATACGGGGTTAATGATAGGGCTGTTGTGCCCTTCGCAACTATGTTCGATGAGAATAATATTTGTGAGACTGCGCAGTACAGTACATACACCAATCATGAGTAGTACAGAAACGATTGATTATGAGAGTATAATTTCAACTATACACAGGATGCGGAAGATAGGGCTTCTTATTAGACACAGGCAACTGGAATACAAGCCATACAAGAGGATCATCGATAACAAATGTGGTCTTCAGCAAGGCGTCGCTTCCGAGAAATGCCCACAAACCCTTTCTATCCTTCAATCCTTTCGAAGCTCTTTGACAAGTCCTGAACTATGATTACAGGGAAAAGCTATCTTACAAGATAATACATCTATTCACGCCGATGCCTGTTCAGGATTCCGCCGCAACAGTGGACGGCCCCACGGGAGTAACTGCAAGACTGGAGCTGTTGGCGCCTGCCATATCCGAACTCAACTGATCACTGTAAGCAGAGTCCACTTCGCTGGAGGCAATCAAGTGAACTCTCGCTAGTGTGGCCTTCTGACTCTTTCCACACGTGCCGTTAGCGCAACAGGCCGGGCTGTCATCCGTGCATCCGTTCTCATTACAGCTGCATTCGCCATGGACCTTCTGGCCATAGAGCAGCCACTGTATGCAGCCCTCGGAAGTTCGTACGACCATACCGCCGCCATACTTCTCCGTGCTACCTTCTCCGCAATTGGTGCTTATTCTCTGGAAGGCTACTATACACTATAATTTTCGCCTGCGTCAGTATTTCTCTGTGTGTTTGGCAGGGGGAGGCGATTGGCACGTACGGAATCTTTCCCCAACGCGAATTCCTTCTCGACATTACAGCCGGACTGATTGTCAGCCCACTGGACAGAGGCAATGACGTTCGTGCCGTAGGGATCGGAATAGACGTAGGTGAGTGGCGGACCGCCTGGGCCCAGGGAATTCCCGGAGCCACACAGCGAGCCGGCTGCTGAATCGAGGCCGTCCAAGTCGAAGAATGCGTATGAGCTATCGTGGTGGTCTTTGAAGCAGTAGTAGCTTGGTACACCTGACTCATCTATGGTAGGCAAAGGAAGAGATGTTGTATGAGAAGGGTTCGAAGTGGTTGTGGAGGGGGCGGTGGTGGTCGTGGGCACCGGTTCTGTTGTTGGTCCCCGGCCGCTAGCGGTGGATTTGTTGTCAGATCCCAGTGTCGGGAGAGGGCCGTTGGGATCCCAGTTGGTCGTCGGGCCCACGTCGATCGTCGCGGGGCATACATTTGTGGTGGTGTCAGTAGTCGTAGTCGTTCCATGGGTCTCGCACCCTACAACCGTGGAACAGCGAGTTGTGAAACAAGTTGTCGCGCGGGAGGTATCGCCGTAGTTGATGATGGAGCATCCCACTGCGCAGTCAGTGACAGTCATGCTGGTTGCACAGCTGGTGGGACTTGAGGTGATGGTCGATGGGCTGGTATCTGTGCCTCCAACACATCCTTCCGAGTCGAAGCACTCACAGCCAGTGCCAGTGCAACTGTTGCAGTCATCACCCTTACAGCTGCAACTAGCTCCCACACAACTGCATCCACTGCCGACACAGCTACTACAGCTGCCTGAAGCACAGGAACAGAAGGCAGCCAATAGACCCGAGCAACGGCATCCCAGGCCATGACATGCAGTGCAGCTTTTGTCTTTGCAACCGCAGTGCCCTTTCGAACAGACGCAGTCTGTTCCCACACAGGCGCTGCAATTCGATCCTGTGCAACGGCCGGAACTCGGATCGCAGTCTTGACCAGTGCAACTCTGACAGTTATCTCCCACGCACCGTCCATCATGACAGTCCTGACCCTTGCATCCATTGCAGTCGTCACCCGTGCACTTGCCACTGTTGCAGTCCGCACCCGCACAGCTGCTGCAATCATTGCCCTTGCAGTTGCCACCTTTTCCAGCCGAACAGTCACTCCCGGTGCATCCATCGTAGCTTGTACAGGAGTCGCCTGAACAGATCCCAGAGCTACAGCCCAGGCCGCTGCAAGTGGCCTCCCAGCAGTCTGAACCGGTACAGACGCCATCATTGCCGCATTGCGGGCCAAAGCAACCAAGCGCAATGCAACGAGTCCCTGTGCACTTTCCGTTGCTTCCGCAGTCAGGGCCAATGCAGCCGGATGTAATGCAGTAGGATGAGGAAATGCAATCCCCATCTTTACACCCAGAGCCGGTACACCCCTGAGTAATGCAATCAGTTGGACCCGTGCACAGCCCGCCAAGACAACCAGTTCCGGTGCAGCCAAACGAGACACAAAGCGGGCCTATACAGAGGCCAGATTGGCAATCAGGACCCTTGCAATGCCCGTTCGTGACGACGGGCCACGACTGGTTTCCAGTAGGGATTGGAGATGCGGGGCTCGTAGTCGCCCCAGTTCCGCTGCCACCTCCGCTGCCACCTCCGCTCCCACCGCCACTGCTGCTGCCGCTACCGTTGGGGCACCATGCGGGCGGAGACGGGCAAGTCAATGCAGTAGAACCTCCGGCAGCTGGAGAAGGTGCTACAACACATGTACCTGTAGGGGACTCCAACTCTCCATTGTACGCACTTACGCATCACTCATAATTCCAGGTGCCCGGAAAAAGGAAATACTGGTCACTGCAAGTGGTTTCCACCGTCGCATTCAGCGCCGTGAGCGCACTGCCCGATTCGTGCACATTTCGATTCCACAACCTATACCCCGCCGCGTTTGCGGACTTGGCCCAGGTCATATGAATGGTCGTCGGGTCATTGGCCACAATCACCAAATCCGTGGGCGGCGGCGGAGTCCCAGCGCCGGGTACCACTCCTGCTACCAACGCTGGGAAGCCCTCGCCCGCTGCGTTCCATGTCACAATGGCCACAAAATGGTAGTGGCCCGGTGTGAGGTCGTCGATGTGTCCGGAGGTGCCCGTAAAAGCGCCGCCCATTATGAAGGTGCAATCTTCGGACTTGTCCCAGTAAAGCACGTTGTACTCGCGGATCGAGTCGGTGTAGGCACCTGTCGGAGGGTCCCAGGAGATATCGAATCCGGTGGCCGTTGCTTTGACTAACACGTTATGCGGAGCTGCTGCCGTCTGCGGATGGGCGGTGGCGGACAACACCGTCGTCCAGTCACCTTTGATGTCGTCGCCAGCACTGGCACGCACTTTGACTTCGTAGACCCAGCCGTCGATGGGCCATGTCGAGTCCCAGCGGGCTGACGTGACACTTCCCGCAGAGAAGTCAGTAATTCCTCCTTGAATTCGAGAGGAGACGTCGTAGCTATATGCTCCATACACTAATGTCTACATTAGTGATTGTTCGGCAGAGCTGCCAGGAGTAGAGAGGAGAGGAGGGGGCGCTTACCCGGATCCCATGTTGCGGTGACTCCTGTAGCGCTGCTGAACACTTTGAAGTTAGTCGGCACTGGAAGTGATCTTCCTGGAATGCTACCGGGAATAGACAACGGCGAGCTTCCAATCTTAAAGTCGTTTACCAGTGTAAGACTGAATGCGCGAGCTATCTGAAATTCGCCCGTCGCAGTGGGATGGAGGCCATCGTAGCCTGCGGGACATCCGCTTGGCTCGCAGTCGTAATTCTCCTGTAGCTCAATAAGGTGAATGGGTGAGTCCGCGGTGCTCCAAGTCGGAATCGCGTTCCGCAGCAGGGCGTTGTAGATATTGGTGCTGATCGGAAGATCATCGCGACCTCCGATGAAGCTTCGCTGCGGTACATTGGCGATGGCGAACTTCAGGTTCGGATTGACGGCACGGGCGTTGGTGACCAGAGTGTGAATACTGTCCAGGGTACCAGCCGCGTCACTGTAGAACCAACCCATGTCGTTGAATCCCAGCATCAGCAACATGAGCTCAGCGGAGTGTGCGCTGAGCACATCGTAGATCAATCCCTTATCCACCGCCGCCGCACGGCCCCAGACCGCGAAATGGTCCCGATCAAAGCTGGAGGGAACCCCCGCGGCATATCCACCGCTCGTCTTGGGCTGTCCGGGCACCGCCTTCGATCCGTAGAGGGGGGGCAGAGCCGGTGCGCTCGGGGAGTCGGGCTGAACAGTCCCGGTGTACGGCCCGACAAAGTCAACCGCCACGCCTTGGGACGCGAATCACTCCCAAATTCGATAGCGCCAGGTGTAGTCCCCTTCTTGGCCTTGGGTCATTGAATCCCCGACAATCATGACCCTCAGCGCGGCGTCACGCCCGGCAAGACTCTGGATCGTGGCCCCGGAGTCGGACTCTGTCTTGATGGCATCCCTCACTGCGGCCACCATCTCCATGGTGTCTGCCTTGACATTTTTGGTTTGCAAGGGAGGCATCAGACTCGCAACCTGTGTCCAAGTCTTGTAGTTGTCGATGGTGGTGGGAAGAGGAATTGGGGGCACACTTGCAAGCTGGGACAGCTGAGCTGATACATGAGATTCGACCGCGAGGGCGGAGGAGAATGCTATCGTGCTCGTAGAGGTGAATGCGACAATGCTTGCGGTAGGATCGATGGAGCCAGTGGCACGCTGCGCCACCCTCCAAGGGAATGAGATTGCATGACTGGTGGATATAAAGGAGAAAAGAATCGCGATATACACGAAAAGCACATGAAGTGCTCGATGCCCGGGCAGCACAGGGCGCAGCTGCGGTTTTGTCCGGTTAATCCTTCTGAGCATCTCTGTCGATCCCTTTGATTTTTCGGATATCCCCTCAGATGGTGCTGGTACTCGATCGAATTTATGTTCAATTCGATTGAACGCGAATTGTCGATTCAGAATGTCTATCGACCTTATCGGCCATGTGCACGTCAGCACGCGCCAAGCTGTGAAGTATATTTGATGGCAGATAATAGCGTCGCAAGAACAGAAGCAGCGCTACCAGAACGATCTCTTCATCTCCGCTAAACGTGACATCGTGGCAAACTAGGCGAGTGACTTGGTTCAGGGGTTCTCCCAGAACGAAGTGAGCGGAAGTGGAATGAGGCTTGGATAGTGTTGTTCGGAAAAGGGTCAGGTTGGGTCGCTTGATACTAGTCAAAATGCCTCACATGCATACTAGGTACCCTGTAAGATATAGTATCGACCCACTACTGAGTATCGTGTGTACTAGTCTCAACAATCCGACCAATGCACGTTGATCAAAAGCTTGATAACCTAGGCCCGAGCGTCCGAGACCCTGCCGGCTAGGGCTTCTGGGAAACAACGCGATGTGACCGCCAAGAACCGCTAAAGATGATCTCATATTAAATAGGACTCCAGGGTCTACTTGTTTTCTCCTTCCCCCTTTACTCCTCCTCTGGCAGACTTCACTCAATCTTATTCTATCGATATGGAGACCCTTCCGACCGAGTTAGTCGACACTATCGTGACCTGGCTCGATTTCCGGGATTTCTGCGCGCTTCGTCTGACTGGACGTACTATCTTATCCCACATATCTACTGCCGCTATTTCTCGGAGATTTTACTCTTCTAAGAGAGTGAAAATGATAGAGGCTGCGCTAGAACAGCTGGTTCGCTTCACCCAGCCAGGACAGGTAGGCCTCTGGCTCCAACGGCTCACGCTGTATGACTGTGTCGAGCGCACGGAGCAGTCTGATGCTGGTTTCGACGCAACCGAGCTACTGGCCCAAGCATTCGCGAACATACACGACCGGCCAGCATCCCACCGGGGCAATCAGCCGTCGCTGTCTATCTCCCTGGAGGTCGACAACTTCTCTACTTGGGACAGGGATGTCACAGCTCGGGTGTTCCACGCGACCCTCTCTGCCATCGCGAGGACGGAAATCCCAATCCAGGAACTCGATATTTTCGGCGACGCTTATTTGCATGATCACCATTTCAAAAACGGCCAATGTAGCTTAGCTTTTAGCGATATCACGCTTGCTCTATCACGCCACCGGACCCCCTTGGCAACATCCTTGCGAAATTGCACCAAGTTCTGCCTGAGTCTAGGCCATTCAACCCGGGGATTCAATTTCGAGTGCAGCGGCCGGGACTTGCGTCTACCGCTGACCGCGAACGAAGCCCGACAGAACATTCAGTCGCTTTGTGATCTCCTCACCATGTGCCCTTTCCTCGAAGAACTACACCTCGTGTGGGAGGATGACGACTTCGAAGAAACGGATGCGTGCAGAGAAGAACGGCAATTCTTCAACCAGATAGGTATTTCCTGTGCATTTGCAAACTTGAAGCGATGTAAACTTCAGGATCTCGACACGTCCGAGAACCCGATCATGACCTTCTTCCGCCGGTCCCCGAGGCTGCTAGAGTTGACCTTGGACAATTTGTTTATGATGCCCGGAGATTTCAGTCATCTTTTTCGTTTGCTGTCTACAGCTATGCCAGACCTGGGATTGTTACGGCTCCGAGGGCTGAATGACGACCTGGGTAGTCTGTGCTTTTTCCACGAACCAAAAGAAAGCACATGGGGCAGACGGCCAGGGGCTGCTGTACATGATATCCGCCGGAGAGGGTCCGACGCCAGAAGACTAGTTGTACCTACCGACAGATTTTAGGAGTCGATTAGATTGGAGTATTTAGAAGAGCCATGGGTGTGGAAGTCCAGATCTCAAACAACAGTCCAAGCACAGAAGTACCCTGGTAATGCCTTGGCTTTCCCATCTATGGGATTTATCAGGCGATGTAACCTCAATTTACAGAATCGGATCACGGGTAATTCAAGGCCACCTTTCCCATATTTTTCCTAATCCTCAGAAATGTTACAAAGGTTGTCAAGCGAGCCCAGATGATACTGCTCGCTATTCTTCCACATTCATTTCTTGCTGTGTCTTCCATTGCTGAGGATAGATTATTCAGCTTGTCTTTAGGCATTTCTCCTTCAAAAGAGCAGCAAGGTTGAAGATCCTGCGAGACCAACATAACCATGTCACATACCTTGAAATGGGGGCTTTTGATCTCCATAGCGCTTTGGTGGAAACTCATCGGCGCCGATAAATCCTTCATCTACTCCCAGGTAGGGGAGTGGAGAGCCACCTCGGTTGGGGTGGAGGCCAACAAGAGCCACTTTGTATATCCCCGAGCGTAAGGTTAACTCAGCTCCCTCACGGTACCTTGTCTGACCCTCTTTAGTGATCCTGAATGCGGTGCAAGCACTTGGGATGATCCAGATACTCCTTCATACCGTGCTTTATGTGGTCCAGCCTCAGAAGGTTGCTCCGGTAGCTTGAATAGACGCAGCTACGGGCTTCGGCTCACCGAAGTCCCAGGTGATAGCAACGCATCTCATCAGCTTGTGGAAAGGACAAGCCTCCACCCGCGAGCCTTTACGGACCTGACCCTTGCCGATATCCGAGATTACGTTCCAAAACAAGCAGACCTACTTAAGAAAGCTTGAAATCCGTATTTCGGGAAGCCTCTGCCGATAATCAAATATCGAGGCGGTATCGAGACCTTTGAGTCGATGGCCCAGCAGCGAAGATTTCAGGATGGTGGTGCCTTTCAAATCGCCACCACGGGTCTTATGGGGTGTACTGTCGTAACAGTGGTGTCTAGAACAGGGGTCTACATGGTATGCAACATCACACATTAGAAGACTTCCCCTTTCGATGTCAAGTGTCCAACCCAGCTCAAGACCCGTATGAGAAGCTTGCTCGAGCAGCACCAATTAGGTCCAGGCCCAGGGTCATTCAATCCCTATGGATCATTAGCGCAGCTAACCCTTCTTTTCTAGGCACACTACTGGGAGAATCCTAGTTTTTTACAGTGAGCAGCCTTCCAGAGACGCGTCCTCAATTTCATTTCTGGTGATGAACCACAAGACGGGGTGGGCCCGGCCCTCGACCCAACCATCTTCAATGGGGCAGAGGACGACACGCGCATCTACATCATGCACCCTCGCAGGGAACTATCACCTAACAATCCTTTCTTAGCAAACTACAACGGGAAATTTGCAGAACTACGTGACTTGCTCAATGTAAGACTTCTTCCTGGAGCACCCACGGCGGCGAGGATGTACGTCGCTATCCCATATATCTTCTATGAGAATGGGGAGTATAAAAGTGACCCCATTGAGGATCAGGAATGGAGACGAAATGCTGTGTTCCAATATGATCCAAACGAACGCGCATGGCAACGGAATGCCAGGGTGGAGACTCTTCTTTGAGGATCACTATTTCGACGATACTAATCCGCCCCCGGGCCCCGAGTCCGCCAACGGCATTCCTGATATACAGTAACTTTCTGCAGGGAAAGCCCCGGCAAGGAGGGACATGGATGTACGGCGCAGAACTATCGACGATCTCCGAGTTGAGATATGTGGACCGATGGCCTCCTTCAGTGCTCTCACAACATTTCACATGGCCAACTTATGGTTAGGGTTGGCTTACAAGAAAGAGTGAAACTGTTGTGAGCAGCTCCCTCACTGTCCCGTTTGCCCCTGAGCTTTTATGATAGCCTCCCAGCGATCTGATTGCAGAACGAGGCGTGCACCTGCGGTATATTGTGAATCCACGACACAAGTTCAAAATATATCCTCCCTGACTGGAGTTATACTATGTAGAAAGGCTGAATAGAGATGGACATCAAGTCTGTAGTAACTGCTGTAGTACGGTACCACGGAGGAACCATTTCCCACACTAGTCTCACCACTGCAGCCTGTTCCTGTTGATTATAATTCTCAAGAGCGTCCCCTTCTAATCTGCATTCTATTGGACAGGATATTGTTCGCGGTCCTCGCCGGTCAGACCGAAACATGGTCTGCCGTACTCCTCGGTGGGTCTTAGCTACCTAAGGTAGTTCCTCAGGTAGACTACGTAGCCGGGATTCATCCACCATCCACATCCTTAACAGAGATAGATGAATTTGGCAACATAGCTAATTACTTACTATTATCACGGTCGCTGATCTTGCAGCCGTGATGAGAATCTTCACAATGGTGTTATTCCCAGTAGTAGTAAACATTTAATCCTGAACGATGTAAGTCATCCGGGAAAGAACGGATCCGCCTCCTGCGGACCCAGCCATTGCATCTGTAACCAGTCGTCCATCATGGGGAAGGAGTAGTCCATCCCGGTGTACTGCGGGGGCGGGTACGGTCCCAGCATTGACGGCATCATCCGCCGGTCGGCTAAGGCGAGTCAGACACGAAAGGGTGATGAACATGTGGTGGAGTTGATTCGGCTCACCTTCATTCAGATCCATGGAATGCGACCAGGTGGTCATCCCCAACCCTGTGGTGAAGTCGCTGCTGGTGACCGTCGACGCGTTCTGCGTCACCACCATCGGCTCGCTGTCCTCCTCGGCGCTCGTCGCACTCCGGTTCCCGTCCCCGGCGCGCGCAAGGGTAAGGCTGACGATCTCCGTCGCGCGCTTCGCCTCCCGGGACGAGGTACTGCGTCGCATCCAGATGGTGCGGGCCCGCCGCAGGGCGGCCAGGACTTCTTCCGTGCGCTCGCCCAGCGGCTGCGCCCGGTGCAGCAGCGAGCAGAGGATCATCGTCGCCGTTAGAAAGAGGTGGTTCATGCTGGAGGTGATGCGCCACCGCATCTCGTGGAGCTGGCCGCCCGGGCAGGTCTCCTCGTCGAGCACGTGCTGGATGTGCAACGTCCCCAGCGATGCGTCGATACAGGCGGTGCGCGAGTACGCGAAGGGCGCTTCACCACTGGCTTGCTCGCTAGCATTCTCGCCAGCGCCAGCGCCATCCCCCGCACCAGTCGCTGTCGCTGACGCCGTGGCCGCAACATGCAGCTCCAGGAACCGTCGGTGCAGCATGATCTGCCCCTTGTACAAAAGGTGGCCCAGGAAGAGCCGCGACATGATCACCTGCGGCGAATCGGTCACGCTCGCCGCCAGCGGCTTGATGCGGAGCGGCGGGGGGATGCTGGCGACCGCCTCGTGCAGCGCTTTATCCGCTTGCATGATCTCCGCGTAGCTGACCGGTTTGACCGCGTCCGCGAGATCGGCGATCGCGCCCAGCGCGATGATCATGCGGCGACGGGCGATGATCCCCAGCGCCGTGGTGTGTTCCGTCTCGGGGCGGGCCGGTGGCAGCTGGGTCAGCTCCTGGTCCAGGTCCATGTCGTAGAGGTTGCGCGGCTCGGCCGTATCGCACTTCCAGTCACAGATCATCCGTGGCATCCCCATCTGGCTGGAGAGGAGAATGTCGCTCGTCAACACGGTGGCCCAGAGTCGTCGTCGCATCTCCCCTTGCAGCGGCGAGATGCCCGAAAAGTGGCTGGGGTCGCGGTGGTAGCCCATTCGCATCGCCAGGTTGACTTCCAGTCCTAGCAAAAACCAGATGTTGCGATCCGCATCCGGGTTGATGCCAAACTCAATGTAGAGATAGTGCACGACGGTCTCCAGCACATATTGCCCGGGCTTCGTATACTCGCCCAGGACCAGGCACTGCACGATCTTCTCGCGGTAGAGGTCAATCTGGAGGGACTTCTGCTCCGCTTCGGGCCCGTCGGTCGTATCCGAAGCCATCACCGCCAGACACACCATGCTGAAGAGAAGGCCAACCCATACGATCGACACCCGGCTGGAATCGGTCCAGAATGCCTCATACTATGTGATCGTAGTCAGCATGGGTGCACTGACAACCCGCGAATATGCCAACTTGCCTCTCGCAGAAAGCTGGGCCCATGTACCGCAGCTAGTACACCATCCAGAAATCAGCCCACCTCCCTCTCGAGACGGTCGGAGAATAGCGAAGAGGGTTGAACAGGGAAGTACCTCACTCACCGGATGCGACTAGGTCGAGATAGTTGAAATAGCGGGAAATGTAGCGGTCGACGGCGGCCTTGGGCGGCAGAGCCGCGATAATCTCCGCGCGCGAGGTGGCCCGGTGACATCCATACAGCAACAAAGCATGGCGGAAGTGGGGTGGTTCCTCCTCACTGAGGTGAGTGGGCGTCTCGGCCAGGGAGATCTGCTCCTCGCGGTCACAGTGGGCTTTCAGGTCGGCGATACTGTCCAGGATGGCCGCCCAGTGTTCGCCGGCCACATACCGCAGCTCCGAACTGGTGATCTGCATGCTTCCGCAGTCCGACTGCGTATCGAGGCCGCTGGCCGACTCTTGTCGAATACCGCCACTGGAACTGGAATCGGGCGTGGCCAGTGGCTGCGGGGGCTTATGGTGGTGATGGTGGTGAGATACCACCCCATCGGCCATCAGCGACTTAACGAGACGCTCCAGGTGCACGAGCCGGTCATGGACTCCGGCGGTCCCGCTGGACGGGGCCGACGAGGACGATGCTCCGGGCCTAGGCGTCAGGTAGACGCACGTCTGACCCCGCGAGAGACAGCTGGAGCATGTGGGCTGTTGCCGATCGCATCGAGACTTTCGTTGACGACACGCGTTGCAGGAGAATTGGGGTTTGTCACGCCGGCGACGGGGCTTGGCGGGAGGGATTGCGGCGGATGAGGTAAGCGGGTCCTGCGACATGGAGACATTGGATGAGGACATGTTGTTCAATTCATCAATAAGAGATAGGGATCAACGGAGGATAGAAGGATGAAAGATGGATGCAGGAGGGGTGGATGTTGGGTAGTTCATAGTGAGTGTTGGTGGTGGTGGTGGTGGTGGTGGTGTGGAGGTTCTTTGAGTGAGGCGGAGTCAGCAGCAGTGGATGCCTTAAGCACGGAGACTAACTGAGTAGTGGCCTAGTACTAGTGCTAAGATATCTGCCTGAGGCCAGTCACCGTATATACGGGATCGGCGGGGGCAATCGGCCCTAATCGGAGGAAAGCCCGCATATACGATCCGAACACTTTCAATCGGAGATAGCTTCCCTGTCCATCCCCCCCTCCTCTCCCCCTCCTCTAGTCTGGTGGTTTTCAATGTACGGAGTAGCTAACGCGGACTCCGGTGGTGTGATGGAGCTTCTCACCTTTAAAAACTTTCACCACCGAAGTATGTACACACATTACCTTAACCCAAACTAAATCGAATCCATCCCCAAGTATTGCAACAGCAGTCAGATTGACCAGACACAGTCAGATATGGCGGCTAAACAAGAAGATACCGAGACGGCTGTCAGCGCAGCCTCTCTCGAGACGAGTCTGGTGGAAGACAAACCAACCACCAATGACGAGATTGTCGATTGGGATGGGCCTGAAGATCAACAAAACCCACACAACTGGTCCAGTGGCAAGCGATGGGCCCATGTCATCGTGGTGGCCTTGATTTCTTTGGTCATGTAGGGCGCAATCCTTCCGGCCCCAGGCAGAATTAACCCTCATTCATCCATCCATCCATCCATCTAACCACTTACCATCTTAGGAACATGGGCCCAACCATGTGTGCCCCCGGTATCAACAAAGTCCTCGATACCTTCGATAATCACTCCTCTACCGTGGCTACTCTGGCCGTCACCCTCTATGTTCTGGGCTTGGCCATGGGCCCGATGTTCATGTCCTCCCTCAGCGAGGTGTTTGGCCGCTTACCCGTGTATCATGTCGCCAATCTATTTTTCGTGGCGTTCGTGATCGGAAACGCCCTGAGTCAAAACCTCGCCACTTTTATGATTTGTCGTTTCATCTCCGGCTGTGCAGGAGGGACTCCAATGGCTTTGGGAGGTGGGACAATCGCCGATGTGACGGTGATTCAGCAACGCGCCCTCGCCATGTCGTTGTACAGTTTGGGCCCTATGGCTGGACCGGTAGGGTTGGCCCTCGCTTTCTCCCTCTACTCGGTACGAATGACAAGCGAAGGTTGCTGACCACACATGTTCTTCGGTGACTACTAGGTACTTGGCCCTCTCATCGGGGGCTTTGTCGCCGCGGGTCTCGGATGGCGTTGGACCTTTTGGCTCCTCGCCATCTTCGGGGGTGCGGTTGGGATTGCCGCCTTGATGGTGATGCGAGAGACACATCCCAAGGTCCTGCTAGAGCGTAAGGCCGCCCGTCTTCGCGTGGCGACCGGGAACTTGCATCTACGATCCAAGATGGCGGACCACCGACCGCCGCAGCAAGTCCTGCTACAGGCCCTCGTACGGCCCACCAAGCTTTTGTTCCGGTCCCCCATCTTGTTGGTGATCTCGATCTACATGGCTCTCATCTTTGGACTCATGTATCTTCTCTTTACCACGTTCACGGATGTGTTTGAGAAGCAGTACGGATTCACCACCGCCACCTCCGGGCTGGTCTATCTGGGACTGGGCGTGTCGTTGGTCGGTTGTATGTTTATTGCCAAACCCCTGGGAGACCGGGTGACGGCCGCGCGCATGAAGAAGGATGGCGTCACACAGCATCGACCCGAGTATCGTCTTCTGCTGATGATCTACTTCTGCCCCTGCGTGGCGATCGGTCTCTTCATCTATGGCTGGACGGCTTACTACAAGGTGCACTGGATCGTGCCCATCATCGGTACTACTGTGATAGGGTTTGGGTCCTTCTTTGTCATGGTAAGCAACCCCTTCTTCTCTCTCTTTGAGACTGATCATTACTTCCGCTTAGTGACCCATTGCTTACTCTATTTTTTCTGTGCCTTGTTTTCCATTTAGATGCCTGCGCAGCTGTATCTGGTGGACTTGTTCGGATCGGCAGCGTCAGCGTCAGCGTTGGCGGCCAACAACGTGTTACGGTTCATCTGCAGTACTTTTTTGCCGTTGGCCGGGCCGGCGATGTACCAGTCGCTGGGGTATGGGTGGGGCAATACTTTGCTGGGGTTTCTGGCGCTAGCCTTCCTTCCTGCGCCCGTGCTGTTTTACAAATACGGGGCGTGGCTTCACGCCAAGACGGCAGCCCACTTTTGATGCTCCCTGATCGGCTCCTAGTAAGGTAGGATAGTTAAGTATGAGTAACGAAGTGAGGTTACATTACGTATACCTTATGACTAGTACTATCCAACACTTCAATTCCCAGAGTGGAAAGTGCATTGCTGAGGAGGTAAGACCTAATCAGACTCTCATTCCTTGGCTGCGGGTGATACGGGCCAGCGGGTATTTCCGCGTCACCACCACCACCACCACCACCAAGCACTAAGTACTGTACTAAGTAATCAACCTGTCAACTTCTCGCGATTACGACGCAATTAGACCCAATCGTCCAACCGTCCAATTGCCCAAGCACTCAATTACTCGGTCAGAAAGTGTCAGTAACCTAGGTAGGAGAGAGTTCCCCCCTCTTCCGATTATCTGTCTCATGCAGAGCCTCTCTAGTACTGAGGATGCCCCCTCCATCTCCTACCCCAAGTGATTAGTGATAAGCACTTAACTAACTACTCCGTAGTAGGTGGTGATTAGATTGGTAATCTATGCTTTGTCTCCAACCGGGCATTTCCCCGTAGCTCCCTCCCTATCTTGGCTCATCAAGCCTATCGCCACCCGCAATGGGTTTCTTCATACCAAACCTGATCTGGTTAACTTATCGGGTCCAGAGCGGCTATTCCCCCTAAGTATATAGACTTATTGTTCATATAACCTGGGGCTGAAGAGTGAGACGTCTGTCTGCAGTATTGACATGACGAATCTAGATCGTTCGCTGGTGAGGGGTAATCTTAGTGCCTGGTCCGGATTGGCAGTAAAGCTTTTACGCATGGTTGGGTGGCTCGCTACTAATTCACCACCGGAGTCGGATTCAGATGGCTAGTGCTTATACTCTATATATTACTTGGCTGTTCTATCAGCAGTCAACACCATCACCACCGCCTCGCTCGCCACTGCCTACTGCCCACGCCCACTGCGAGGACAATTTGAAACGGATATAACGACGTATATGCATGATAAGCGAGCGACATGTCTCTGTCTCATCACCCTCTCCCCTCACTCTAGCCTTCTTGAGGGTTAGGGCAGGAATGCCCGAACCAGGGAGCATGATCCTGGCTCAAATCCATCCCGGTACCGGGATGGCTGACAGCCAATACGGCTCAAACAACAGAACACGAAGATAACTAAATGTGCGTATCAGGAAGGCGATAGGAGGACGTTGTAGTAAAAGCAGTCCATGTGGGCGGAGAAAGACTCTACCAATTCCTCCGGAAGCACTTCAGCCCCCCCTTCCCAGCATCCCCGCCCGCCCCATAGAAATCCCTCCCCGCCGCCCACTTTAATTTCCCCCTCTACGCAATCAGACAACGCTCAACAACAGCCATTGCAAATCTCGCCCTCTTTCTATACCTCAGTTTCCATTCAATTCTACACCGCGTTTTCAACGACTGTCACTGTCTCCAGTTACCACCATGAGCGACAGCAATCCCAGCCTCCGCGCCTCCTGTGAGCGCTGCCGCGCCCACAAGCTGCGCTGCGTGCCCTCGATCGCGGGCGACCCCACCGGGCCCTGTCAACGCTGCGCGAAGGCGAAGATCCCCCGGTCCTGCACCTACAGTCGACGACTGAAGACGGGTCGCAACAAACTGCGGGGAGGAGACGAGGACCCGCCCGAAGCGCAGTCGCAATCGCAGTCGCAGTCGCAGGTCCACTCGCACTCGCGCAAGTTGACGCGCACGGAACGGGAGGGCTTGACCCAGCCCCCACTGCCGGGGATGGGCACCTTTGTGCTCCCTCCATCTTCTTCATCTTCTTCTGCGCCCTCCTCCTCCTCGTGCTCGTCATCCTTGTCATCGCTGCCTTCGCCTTTGGAGTGTCCCGCCCTGCCCCTTGGGGCGACGGAGAAGAAAGACGGCAGCCTCTTCGCGGACACCGACGCGATGATCGTGGATTCGTTTCCATGGGGCGACGAGACTTCGGCCGCATTGATCGACCCACCGGACCTGTTGATGAGCACCGAGCACTTCTCGGCGCATCATTTGTCGGGTCTGGACGATGGGTTGGAAGCTCCCACCGCGAGCGCTGCGGACGAGTACATGGCGGGATTGTCGATGTACACCGACTGGGACAAGGTTCTGCTGTCTTTCGCACAGGGGGATGCGCTGATCAATGACTCGATGGAAGGAGGAAGAGCAATGCCGACGACAACGACAACTACAGCAACAGCAGCAACGAAAAACATGGCAGCTGCGACGACGGCGGGGCCCTCTCCCGCGGAGGACCACTTCACCACTCTGACCGGACTCCTGGCCAAGATGTCGCACTACGAAGCTCAGATTTCTCAAAGCTCTCGCGCCTCGTCAGCGTCCGTGTCGCAGGAATACCAGAAGCATGGCGGTGGTGATGCGCTTGACAACTACCCCATCGGCGATGCACTGTTCCTCTCGCGCGGCTTCTACAAAGTGGTCTCCGCCCACAGGGGGACGGAGGGGGGCGAGGCGGAAGACGAGGCGAACCGATTCGCAGCGTCGGCCACAGAGCCGTTACCCTCGACCAGTGCATTTGACATTCCTACCAAGCTCCTCACTCTCTCCTGCTATCTGGTTTTGACCCGCATTTATACCGCGATTTTCACCGACCTCTACGATCAGCTGTCCCAACTCTCGGCCATGCACTGCTCCTCGCATCCCACGCGACAGCCGTCGCTGGACCCCTTTCTGGAAGACGCGGACATGTACCTTGGCCTGCGGCTGGGGGAGCTCCAGCCCACGTGTGGGTGTGTTGACACCCCGGTGCGGGAGACGGCGACGCGGGCGCGCAAAGCGGTGGCCATCTTGCTGGGGTCGCTGGAGGAGACGGAGGCGGCTTTGGAGCTGCCCGATGGTGTGAGTATCCTTGCCAACCACAAAGGGGTCACTCGGGAATCTGGGACGGAGCGATCGATGGTGCATGTGGGGGAGGAGGACGGGGCGGGTGTCTCCCCGCAGGGCGCGATCATGGGGTTGACGAACGAGCACTTGTACCAGACGATGAGAAAGCAGGGAAGCCACCTGCGAAGCAAGATAGACGAGGTAGAGCATTTGCTGCGAGAGCTGCTGAATATGTATTGATATCCGCGATAGTCCTCGGTTGTTTGCGATCCTTCTTAGAACAATGTTAAGGCCATAGATAGTACATAGATTGTGAGCTTCCGATACGTACGCAACGCCTGCCATAAGCTTGATTACGGAGAACGGCCGCCCTGACCCTGCCCCGGATAGAGCATTGCTGCAGCGCAGTCATCTTCACAAACCACCCATGTGAACTGTTTGTGCATTCGTCAGACATGGGCAAAACGAAGGCTGCCCTAGTAATCCTGCAAGGCTCCACTCACCCAGTCAGATAGGGCTCCCTCCCGCTGACCCTAAACGGGACATTCGGAAATCCCGACCCGCCCTACGCCCGAAGGGGTATTGATTGCGTGCCCCAGGTGTCGACATCGGGGGAATCGAGGACTCGCCGACGGTCATGCAACCCTTCGGCTTGAATGGGGTTCTTTTCTCCGACCATGTGGGAGGAACCATGCGGGTGCATGCATGAAGGAAGTGCTGGGATGCTAATAAGACTCATGGCGTGTTGGGAGTTGATACCGATACCTGTGCGTTCATTCTTCATAATACTGCGCGCGTTTGCATTGATTTCTCCTGGTCGTTTGTTCGCCTTTTTTCTGCCTGCTGATCCAACTGCCCTAAGTGAACCTACCCATATTCCATACTTGAGCGACAGATTCCCTTGTCCACTTCTCGTCACCACCAGTTCCCCCCCTAGCCAGACACACACCAAGACAGAAACAATGGTCCCCGAATCCGTGATCATCGTGCGACCCCCGACCCCCAGCCCCTTACCCTACCCTACCCAACCTTACCCTCTTCTCCCCACCCAACCCCACTAACATCCAGTAAACAGATCGGCGGCTCCGTCGCAGGCCTGCTGCAAGGCCTCCAACTCAAACGGCAAGGCAGCAACGTAATCGTGCTGGAACAAGACCCGTCCAAGGACCGACACAGCCACGAGTCCGGCGTGTCGATCGGCCCCAGCGTCGTCGCGCTGCTGGACAAGTACGACGCGACGGGGCGGCCGGCGGCCATCCCGACGGAGTACCTGAGCGCGGCGTGGCGCCGCAAGCACCTGCGCGTCGCCAACACGCGCTGGCACCACCACATGAGCAACTGGGGCTGTCTGTACCTGATCCTGCGGGCCAACTTCGACGGGCTGGCGTCCGCCGCCGTGCCGCACCCGCCGGGGCCCAAGCCCGGCGACGGGACCGTGGACTACCGGCCGGGCAAGCAGGTGACGGGCGTCCGGTACGATCGGGCCGCCGACGGGGGCAAAGGGCTGGTGGAGGTGGAGTACGTGGACGTCACGACGGGGGCGACGGAGACGGCGCGCGCGGGGATGGTGCTCGCGGCGGACGGGGTGCATTCGACGGTGCGCCGGCTGCTGCAGGTGCCCACGCGCAAGGAGTACGCCGGCTACATCGGGTGGCGCGGCACGGTGCCGGAGAAGTTGCTGTCGGCCGGCACGGTGGAGTACTTTGAGAATCGCCTGAATTTTACGCTGTTGCGCGGGACGTATTTCATTAGGTTCGTTGGTTCCTTTCCTTTCCCTTGGGCAAACGGACTCGGGGTGAACCGAAGGGGAGGGAAGATACGGTGTGAATGCTAACCGTGGGTAACAAGCTACTTCATCCCCACCGAACAGGGCCACGTCGAACCCGGCAAACGCCTCCTCAACTGGGTCTGGTACTACTTCCTACCGGAAGGGTCCCCCGAGATGGCCAAGATCTTCACCGACATCCACGGCAAGGTCCACCCCAACACCGTGCCGCAGGGGCTGGTCGACCCGGAGGTCTGGCGCGCGCAGCTGGCCGCCCACCTGCCCAAGATGACCGCCCCGCTCGCCGAGGTGGTCTCGCTCACCCCCCGCGTGTTCGTGACCAAGGTCGGCGAGGCCCAGTGCTCCACGGCCAGCTTCTTCGACGATCGGCTCGTGCTCGTGGGCGATGCCTT